AATTTCATGACTTCTACCAACCTTCCGACTCGCTTATACCCTTTTCGACTAACACTAAAATTAATGTTATACATATAACAAAAAACATATATATCTAAAATAGAAGGCGTGTACGTCGGTCAATACTAAGGACGAACAGTTACTTAACAACTAACATGTTTAATGCTATGTTTTTTTTTATATTTTTCATAACATATATTATGTACTAACATTGACACAGAAAATATCCAGAGATTAAACTTTTGCAGGAAATTCACTATATATGCTACAACTTTATAAATCAAAATCTTAGGGACATATTACACTATCATGTATATAATATTATATAACCACTAAACATAAATACAGGGCAGATACTATACAAGAACAATAATATTAAAAGATATTTATATATTTCATCACTATGAACTATGTACATATGAGTCTATAGATTGATAGTGTAATATGCCCCATACATCAACAACTGCATGTTTATTTATAATTCTGAACACAATATACAAATAAATTTTACTTAAAATCTTAAATAAGATAAATAACTTTAATAATATGTACATAGAAATCATTTTTAAATGAAAACAACCCCGTTGTTTTGAGAATTTCAACAGAATGTCTAACGTTACTGTATTTATTTTGATGTCTAACGATGGTAGTTATTCCAACCATAGAGTATTACATATTACAGAGTGTAAACTGAATTAAGTATTAAAGTAATCAATATAAAAAGCAGTTTTAGTTAAACAAAAGTATAAACAAGATGAAAAATATTTTGTCAAATTATGTGTTATTTTGCGGGAGTCCATTTCATTCATATTTAATTTAATTAATTAAATAATGAATGTATATATCTTATATATAAAATTCTCGTGTCACAGTTTTCGTTCCCATACTCCACCGAAACGGCTTGACCGATTCTCATGAAATTTTATGAGCGTATTGAGTAGGTCTGAGAATCAGCCAACATCTATTTTTCATCCCCCTAGATGTTAGGGGTAGTCCAACCCCTAAATTTTTATTTTTATTTTAGGGCAACACAACGTTTGTCGTGACAGCTAGTAATATTATAAATCCATTAAGTAACAACATGAATCTTACTAAAGTTATAAACGCGAAAGCTTGTGAGCTTGGATGGATGGATGTTTTTTGCACTTTCAATCAAAAACTACTGAATTAATTTTGATGAAACTTTACAATAACACAGCTATAAATTTCACGCGGGTAAATCAGCTAGTATTATTATAAATATGCCACAGCATAGTCTTAAATGGTGAAATTGACAGTATTTCTTTTCAGTACTAAATGGATTTATAATATTTTGTTTAATTCCGCTACAATTAGCATTTATGATACCACAAATATATGCGAAAACTTAACTGCCGTTACGACCTTCTCTAATAGTGATATATTCAGACCGTTATTGAGAATTAAGGAGCCCACATTGTTAATGCTTATTATTGATATATATATAGTAAGAATTTTCCAGAATGGGCACTGACTGAAAATGTTTACACTCTGTAAATATAATCCTGTAGGTAGTTAACACGTTAAAGACCGCATACCTACCGGTGGGTCACTCCGCAACGAAAGTAAATTTACACGTTAGGACTGGGTGATCACCCGTGGGCACTTTAATTGAAATAGATCTAGGAGTTAAATAATATCTAGCTCAAATTATTGTACACTAAAAATATATAAAAAATAATATACGTAATTAACAATAAAAAATGCCGGTACCTCTGTGAGATATAAGATTTCAATGTGGTCTTCAACGTGTTTAATCGGCCCGGATCAATTATTATTGCAATCACAAAAACAATGTGTTTCATGAATAAAATTTACCATTTCTTCTACTATGTATGGAAATAACAATTCCAAGTATACAATATTTTAAATAATACGCTTATTAATAACCATGTTAGAAGAAACTACCGAATAGGTAAAAAAATACATTTACATACGAGTTCTATACGATTATGAATAAGGTACAGAGTTCGGGTAACTTTGGTTTACATTGCGTTTAATCCGTAAAATTTTAGAAGGCTCTCGCGGTGAGATGTTTATAAACGCAGGCTCATATACTTTTATTGACGGGTTATACGACATGAACAGGCTATTGTAGTACTATACTATATATACATACCATCTATTCAAAAGAGCAACACAAGTTTCTTGTGATGAATCTGCATTCCGAATGAGTGGTGGAATCAAAAATTTGACTATTCAAAAGTGCTTGTAATGAGTTTATTTGAATAAATATCATTTCTATTTCTATATTATATAATATATACTCATAATATAATCACTCATATCATATGAGTAGCAGAGTAATAGTACCATAGAGTCTGTAATAGACCTACATGAATAAAGATATTTTGAATTTTGACTCACTCATAAACGGTACTACTTGTACTGACTCAGTAAGCAAATAATATCCCTAGTATGACGTATCTTTACTGTAATACATGTAATTATACTCGAAATAACAAAAATGTAGCATACCTCTCAAAGTATCAGTTATACAATAATCTGCAAAAAAATATTTTAATATTTGAAAATCTCGAAACGTCAGTAAGCAAAGTAACAATTAATAAAGAAAATATTAAATTGCGACCCCATATCTGCAAATGCAGTGTATGACGACCCCAATACATGGATCTATGTAAGGAAGTGATCATAACTGAATTCTGTGGTGTCCAACAGTGGACTAATAAGAGTTTAATGTAATTTATTTTCTAATATAATATATTTCCGCGGCAATTACCCGAATCCTGCATTTCTTGATGCAATTACAGTATATTATGCAAGTAACAACGTGAAAGGAACTTCCACTATTGAAAGATACAGTTCATTTTACATTTTTTTCCTATAATGGTACATTTTTGTACAGAATTCCGACTAGATTGGGCACAGTCGCCTTCAAAAGCGATGTATTGTATTACACTTTTATTCTACGACACCTAACAAATATGTTGGTTATATATGCAATAAATTAATACATCATTAAAAGTCAGACAAAATGTTTATTAATAAACTGCATTTACTAAAAATTGGACTTTAATATTAAACAATTAAAGTTCTTTTCCCAAAATCATATTTTTTAGTTAATGCAGTTTACACTTTTTTTTTTAATCTTCCAATATCGTAATATGTACTGCTACAACGGGTCAACTGGAGATCGCAGTAGTTGTAAACAATTACTACCAACAGACTAATTTGCTAAAACATTTAGGCCACTGACATACAGCCGGTTAGTCGTAAGGTAGCCTGAATACGACGAAACGTTTCGATATACTCCGATTGGCTGATTCGGTTGTGCAACTCCCGGCGTGTTTGTTTGCCTAACCGACTGTATATCGTCGGCCTAAGTATGACTATTAGTTATCTAATAATTATAGTACAAGTTCAGCTTACTTGGGACTATATGACGCTGTGTAAGTATTATACAAGGTTATATTTTTTAAATCGGCACGATTTCAGTTTTATTCCAATTCTATTCTATACGATTTCAAAGACAACGGCCAACATTTAATTATTAAGACATTTTATTTATTCATTGGCACGATTATTTTATACATCACGTTTATCACAACACTCAGTATTTACAATGTTAGAATGTTATACATGTTGTTGTTTGATGTAAAAGAAAAACAACATCATGTATAAACATGTTGTTTAAAAGATATAATTGTCGTATTTATATACGCTATGATATTTTTTAGTCTATAGCAATTGTTGCCAGGTTAATAAACAGCAATATGTACATGTTTTGATCTGTCAGAAAAAACATCGATTTTAAATCCTTACTAACCATATAAATGTCCACAATTTCTTTGTTACCTCTTAACGGCTAAACCGATCGTGAAGAAATTTTACATACATGTAGTGACCCGCGACTTCCTCTGTATGGAATAATGGATAAAGGACCTTGGATAAAATATTTAGTAATTTAACCCAAAAATACCACTGAGAAAAGTTACATCGTTCTATCTACGAGAAAGACAAGTTCTATAAGAACTTTCATCCGTTGTTTTATTTTGAGGTTTAATAGGTTTACAAAGTTTTAATGTCATATTTTATTAACATCCTAAAAATATGTTTCAAGCCTCTAGCTTTAAAAATGACCATTCAATCTTTCACCTCTCTTTCAACCCGTTAAAACCCTTTTTTCGCATTAAAAAGTACCCTATGTACTTTCTCAGGGTTTAGACTATCTGAGTACCAAATTTCATTTAAATTAGTAAATCGGTTCAACAGTTATTACGTGAAATCGGGACAGACAGACAGAGTTATTTTTATATATATAAATTATAATATAACTAAGTATCCTGCAAACTGTTTGTCACAGTCGAAAATTGCATAGCAATACGCTGTCATTCCCTAAATGTGATTTATCATTATTAAATAGTATAAAACAAAGTCGCTATCGCTGTCTGCCCGTCCCTATGTATGCTTAAATCTTTATAACTACGCAACGGATTTTGAAGCGGTTTTTTTAATAGATAGAGTGATTCAAGAGGGAGGTTTAGATATATAATACACAAGCTTTTGCCAGCAGCTTCCCTTGCGTTAATTTATCCCCTTAAGAGTGGAATTTATCAAAATCCTTTCTTAGGGGATGCCTACGTCATTGTAGCTATATGCATGCAAACTCTCAGCCCGATCGGTTTAAAATTGACAAAGTTTCATACAAACTTTCATCCCCTTGGGGGTAGAATTAATCAAAATCCTTTCTTAGCGGATGCCTACGTCATAACATCTACCTGCATGCCAAATTTTAGCCCGATCCGTCCAGTGGTTTGGGCTGTGCGTTGATAGGTCACTATGTCAGACAGTCACCTTTGAGTTATATTTAGATGTACACCCGTGCGAAGCCGGGACGAGTAGCTAGTATATTATAAATGCGAAAGTAGTCGAATTTATAATATTAGTAAGAATAGAAACGGAGAAGAATATTAGTTCCATTTTAGACTGGTAGATAAAGTGACGAGTAAAAACTACTTCATTATAATTATTAAATTCGTAAACGCTTTTGAGGGCGACTGCGCTGAGATACATCTTAAACATCACTAATGCTAGTTAGACAATTGTCCAATACTTCAGTCAATTGCGAGAACTTTGTGTACGCTTCCTGTAGCATGTTCCTGAAAGAAAAATAACATTTAACTACAATAAGATACAAAAAGGATATAGGAATTGCCCTTAAATAAATTCAAAACATCTGTTAAATCATATTTACTGAGCAAAGTCTATTACTCACTATACAGTTACTTAATAACGAGCGTGAATGGCAATAGTTGTTCATGCATTTGTTTAATATGCATGGGATTTTGAAATCCCAATAGACAATATTAGACAAAGACACCTATATATATATATATATATATACATTGTAAATAAACTGGCTTTCAAATAAAATATATATATAAATAATTTTGAGTATCTCTCCAGTTCTCAATTGGATCTATATATTGAACTGGACAGTAGGGAAAAAATTATAATATAAAAAAAATTATTCATAAGCGGCTAAAATGTTCTACATGAATAAATGATATTTGAATTGAATTTGAAAATACACACCAGGTGACATGTTATCCGGAGCGCGTTTATTATTTTCCGCTACACTAAGTCTATGTCAAATTTTATCACCGACCATTCCTCAAGGACAGGTAGATATATAGATAAATTCTTTATTCACATTACAGACACATAACATACATGAGATACAGAAAAAACATGTATTAATATAAGAAATATAGGTGACTTTACGTGCCGCAAAAGTGAAATGGCAGCCAACTCATAATGCTACAGATAACTCTGCAGCGCTGATATTCTGTTGGCTCCTTACCTATACTATACTTATTACTAAAAAGGACATGACCGATCGGATTTTTTTTAGTGGAAAATGATGGAAGCCCGAAGGTTGTTCGATGAAATTTTAGTCTCGATTGGTCAGGCCGTTTCGGATCTGTATCGTTGCAAAGAGAGCAAATTTGATCTCTAAGATCGCTTCGCGCTCTCCTCAATGAATTAAACCTATTTAAATAATTTGTAATTATAATCTAATACCCAATCAACTTAACTAAAATGAAGGAAAAATCAAAATTTATAAATGTTGAAACCACTGTTAAGTCTATGAAGTGGAGGTGGACAGGCCACATGATTACGGAAAAAATACCTAAATGGACAAAAGATATTACAGAGTGATACCCATGAGGACACAGAAGAAGCAGAGGCAGACAAACAAAAAGATGGGAAGTTGACATTAGGAAGGTAGCATGGAGAGTTTGAACTCAGATTGCAAGGGACCGAATGCTATGGAAATACTTGGAGGAGGCCTATGTCACATCGTGACAGACTGTAGACATTCAGTGGAGATTTTTTTTTAATAAATAAGACTAAGATGACCAGCGTTACTGCCTAAACTCTTTGTAAAGTTAACAGTAAATAATAATAATTATTATTATTATCTAATACCCATAACAGAAGCTCTGCTTAGCTTGGGATAAAACGGCTATATGTGAATTATTTTAATTAAAAGATAAAATATATCGTCACAGATGGGACCCTATGACCAAATTAATAAACAAACCCGCAGTTGGTGCAAAACGTCCTCAGATCTTCCGTGGTGATGGTGCAGTCTACATCTATCAGCGCCAGGCCCTCCCTGACGGCTGCCTCCAGCTGCAACACCTGCTCCTCACTCACCGTCTCCGTACTCACAGCCCTGGACCAACAAACCAAATGGAAATGCTTTGAATACTAATTCTTGCATTTAAATTGTATAATAATATTGCACAAAAATAGTTAATCTTACATCAAAATAGTTACTATTGCATAAAAATTGATCATTTTGCATAAAAATAGTTAATATTGCATAAAAATAAATAAATTTCATAAAAATAGACAATCTTGCATAAATACTTAAATTTGCATAAAAATAGATAAATTTCATAAAAATAAACAATCTTGCATAAAAATAGTTAATATTGCATAAAATTAATTAATACTGCATAACAATAGGTAATCTTGCATAAAAATATTTAATATTGTATAAAAATTGTTAATCCTGCATAAAAATAGTTAGGCTTGCATAATAATAGGTAACCTTGCATAAACATAGTAAGGAAATTTGATGTGCAAGTACATTACAAATACCGATATAGGTTATATATATATATATATATTATTCTCAAAAAAAAGCAGCGCAACTACGGGGTCCATTACCTGTACAGAGCGCCTGACAGGGCCCGAGCCGTGGACGCTAGCTGCGGGGGGTCGGACGACACTGCGCCCGTTGCTCCGGAGGACACTTTCGAACTGTACATACATAATACATAAGGCTAAGATATGTAATAATAGTTAAACCAATACTATCTATATCCCATTATTAATATATATTTATATGCTTAAATACTTACAACATTGCGAAACTGTTTTAGCTAAAAAATATACATAACTCCAAAGTGACTCACTGACATAGTGATCAATGATCGCACAGCCCAAACCACTGGACGGATCGGGCTGAAATTTGGCATGCAGATAGATGATATGACGTAAGCATCCGCTAAGAAAGGATTTTGATTAATTCTACACATATAAAAAAGGGGATGAAAGTTTGTATGAAACTTTGTCAATTTTAAACTGATCGGGCTGAGACTTTGCATGCATAAAGCTATAATGACGTAGGCGTCCCCTAAGAAAGGATTTTAATAAACGCCACCCCTAAGGGGATAAATTAACGCGAGCGAAGCCGCGGGCAAAAGCTAGTCTCTAATAAAACAAATAAAAAAAGTCAAATATTCTTCCCTAATAAACTTTACAATTTGCAAGTCTAGTTTCTTCTTTATTGAAGATACCCTATACTTAATGGTAACATTAAAAATACCTGGTTCATTTAAATCTATCAATATCTAAAGAGCAATCTATTACTGCCCCATATCCTACTCCCATTCATCATCATCATCTCAACCCGGAAAACGTCCACTGCTGAACAACAGCCTCCCCAAAGAGCTCCTATTATTCTCCACCAATTCTGGGCGTAGGAGTAACAAGAAGTCGACTCGTTCGCATATATCACGTCGAGCTCATGCAGTTCCGCAATTTCTCCGCGAACAACAAAACGGACTGTTACTCCAGTCAGCTCGTGACCACGGCTAGTGCAACCTAGTCGAAACGTCGAGAGAGGTAAATACCTTTATTTGGCATAAAATTATTCGTGTTAAGACCCGATTAATATAAGCAACCCAGCCCGGATAATTTAAGCAACAAAACGGACTCAGCAGCGATCCACACGCATTGCGCAATCATCTTTTCAGAAAATGATCTCGAGTACAGCACCAAAGTGTTGGATATTTAGTATATAGTTAAAAATACATTAACTATAAATATACTGTAATATACATATTTAGTTATGAATGTAATATGGAAAAGTATTGCAACTGATTAAATTAATGTCAGCATTATGTCTGTATGGAAATAAATTTCATTCAAAACTATTCATTTTTACAGGATTTATACTCTGATGGTCGCGGGTTCGATTCCTCGCACGGTACAAACATTTGTATTCATGAGTATGATTGTTTGTATCGGTCTGGGTATTGTCTATGTATAATACATAGAAAATACTAATACAACATAATGACAAGTGTGTATTTACGAAAAAAAATACCAAAACATATCTATCATTTGTCTAGTACCCATAACACAAACTTTAGCTAGCTTAACTTGGGTCTAGATGGCGCTGTGTGAATTGTCCTGAGATTATAATTATCATTATACTATAGAAAATAATTTTCTAATGGTGGTCCCCACCTGCCTCGGTATGTGCCATTATAAATAGTTTTCTCTCAACATACCAGTATCCAGAGAAAACGGTCCACAGCGCCTCAAAGGCTTGCACGGCTGCCGGTGGCCTCTGTAGTTTCTCGACGGTGCGCTTTGCAAGTTCCATGTACTCAGGTATTATCTGACACTTTCTCGCCACATCCACACACAGTTCCTTGAAGTTGGTCACCTCCGATTGACTCAGAGACTTTGGATCTGCAATATTGTAGAGTAGGTTTAGACATTCGAATTGTTTTATTTATTTTTATTTTATTTTATTTGGGATACAAACAGTTTCACAATGTAGAATAGAATAGAATAGAAAATCATTCAAGATTTATTCAAATAAACTTAATTTAAGCACTTTTGAATAGTCATAACAATTTGTTTTTTATCTACCACTCGTTCGGAAAGCTGTCTCATCACAAGAAGAACGAGCAAGAAACTTGTGTGTTGCTCTTTTGTATGTTGTATGTATATAAGTAATGTGTAATGTAGTATGTATATAAGTACATAGATATGAATTAATAATAGTAAAACCAATACAGATATCCACGGGTTAAGATAAATTATGATATTAATATTTTAAAGTTACTGTATTTTATGTTTCAAATAGTTAATAGGATAGTCTTAACATTTCTTACATATATTAATATTTAAATTTATGCAATAACTATTTTTAATTTTTATTATTTTGACAATTGTAATTTGTATTCATCCATACTTGGGCCCGACTGAATATCAGGGCTGGAAACTATGTTTCCAGCATTATGTGATCCACATTGACTCTGTTTGGAATGTATAAATTGTGTGTTTGTTTTGAAGTAAAACTTCTACATAGACAAAGAATCCTAATACACCCCGTATTAAGATTTTTTGGTCACGAAAAAGCATTTCAAAAACACGTGGAAGAGGACGAGATATCGCGTTGTAAGAGAAAGAGAAAGGCTGGTGGCGGCGTAGAGAGGACAACGGCCGTCCGTTGAAGTTTCACTTCTATTGCTTGTCCTTGATTGAAGATGGAATCTAACCACTGATTGCAAACAATCAGAAGTGGGAATTCCAAAAACAAACCATCGACTAACAAAACGCCTTCTTAATCTAGATAGGCATAACCTTAAAATAATGATAGGGACAATAACGGGCCATTGTCCCTTAAACAAACACATGTACACAATAGATGCTACAGACAGTCCTCTTTATCGAGGCTGCTTTGAAACCGAAGAAACGGCGGTTCACGTAATCCTGGAGTGCGTAGCAGTGGCCCCACAACGAAAACAAATCCTCGGGACGGGGAGGTCGCTCTGTGAAGCCTGTGAAGCCTGTGAAGATACCAGGAGTCTTCTGCGCTTATGGGAGGAGCTTTACTGGCTACTTTAGTAGTCTGGCTCTGCACGCACAACGGCCCGATTGAGAGGCTAATTGCGGAGACTGGAGTCCAATATACAATACAATACAATACATAAATTGTCCCTGCACACATGGAGGACGTCCTCAATCTCTTCTGCTTCCCCTCCAATCGATTCCCCGTCCAATTCAAACGGAGACCGAAATTACGACGGCCTGAACCGAACCCCTAGCGGTGCCCTCAAACTAAAGTCGGGAGTTAGCCTTCAACTGCTGCATAAGTCCTTCCGCTTGTTTGGAGTGCCATCTGCACTCGCCGCCTATCGTCCAGTGAAGCTGTAAAGGCCAGCTGCGGCCAACAGCATTAGAGTAGTCGATAAAAAAGGTAGTTTTATGGATTTTTGACCATAAGTTCTATTCAATTCTATCTTTTCTACTCACCTTTACTTTCTATGGAGATCAATGCATTCTTTAAGTCTGTGATTAAGTGCTCTATTCGTGGGAACACTTCATTGAACACTGCGATCCAATGCTTGAGCAGACACTGGAGCACATCACTGAGGGTCCAGGGCGGAGCCTTGAACAGCACATGCTGCCATAAATTGTCATATTTCGCTCGCATCTCATTCTGAAAAACAAACAATTCAAAGGGTTCATTATAAGGGTTGTATATAATATGTACTTATTTCCTGTTTGACAGAAACAGTCAAAACGCAGATTGGAAGTATCTATCTATTTGCAACTAACTGTCGCCCATGAGTACCTGCAATACCAGGGGAATTGCAAGTGCATTACAGACCTTTTAAAGAGGAATAAGCTATTTTCTTGAACGAATCAATATCGTATTGGTTCGGAAATACCATTGATAGAAGGTGATTCCACAATGTGGTTGTGCGTGGCAAAAAGTTACAGCGGCCGGAGTTCCGCCAGCGAGACACTCCTCGCGTCCATAGTCGTACCTCGAGGATGTTGGCCAGCAGGTGGTAGAGCGTGGTGCGGTGGTGGTGGAGGCCGGCGAGGTCGCCGCCGCCTGCCGCCGTAACTCTGGGTGGAGCCTCCAGTAGCGGCCGGAGCTCCGCTAGCGAGATACTCTTCACGCCGTTTATCACAGCTTTATTGCACAAATTCTTGTCATTTGACAGTAATATCTATAAAAGAAAATATAGCACCTAATACTACGAGTAGTGGCACTTAATGAGGAAGTAGCCATTATTATTGCTAAAAGTTGCATATAGATGGCGTGATTGGTATCGATAGAATTCTTCATAGTTTTGCAAACGTTTTAAAAAACAAAACTGTGTTTTCAAAAATGTTTAATCAATTTTTAAAAAGTTATATATACATGTTAAAATGAAATAATGCGTTTAGAAAAGTAATTTTCATATATTTACTCATTTTGTTATTTTCCAGTACTTACTTACACTTTAATCAGTGCTAATATGGGGCTCAATGTTTTCAAAATGCTTTCATAGATGGCATTGTCGTCATTTGTATCGGCCTAATTAAATGTCTTTTTTGTATTTTCCAATAATAAGCACTTAATATATTATTATTGTAAATTAAACATATAAAAATTTTTTAAGTAAATTAAAAATAGCCGAACAAGCAAGTAATACTATTTCCAATAATACTTATGTATGAAGTGTTGTCATATTAAAAATAAATACATGTATTATCGATTTTTTTGAATAATCGATAACAGGATTTTATTACAGTGCATTATTCGATGATGCTTTTAATGAGTCGTTGTGAACAGTAAATTTTCATTATTTTGTATTATAGCAGTGTTCCGTTTCAAAGAACGGAATATAGTAGTACATTATTAGTGTCGTTGGTTATTTACATTTGTACTGAAAAATCTATTACATAATAATTTAAAATATCGAGTACGAATCGTAGCTGTCTTCGAATACTGGCAACTGGTAAGATTAAAATAGTATTTAAAAAAAATAGAGAAATCAACCATAACTCGAATACCATAAAGTTAATTTTCCTTTCTCATTAATATCATAGCAGTTTGTTTTTAACTTGCGTATGACTCTGTGGTATGATGTTTAACGTGTATTGTTATTGTACGGTGCATACATTTCAAAAATTATATTTTAATGTAGGTACACACATTTCTTTCATACACTTCATACATGTCAAAAATTATCTTTTAATGTAGGTACATACATTTCTTTCATACATTTCATACATTTCAAAAATGAACTTTTTATGTAGGTACATACATTTCTTTCATACATCTCATACATTTCAAAAATTATATTTTAATGTAGGTACATACATTTCATACATGTTAAAAATTATCTTTTAATGTAGGTACATACATTTCTTTCATACATCTCATACATTTAAAAAATTATATTTTAATGTAGGTACATACATTTCATACATGTCAAAAATTATCTTCTAATGTAGGTACATACATACATTTCTTTCATACATTTCATACATTTCAAAAATGAACTTTTTATGTAGGTATAGGTACATACATTTTTTTCATACATCTCATACATTTCAAAAATTATATTTTAATGTAGGTACATACATTTCATACATGTCAAAAATTATCTTCTAATGTAGGTACATACATTTCTTTCATACATTTCATACACTTCAAAAATGAACTTTATATGTAGGTACATACATTTCTTTCATACATCTCATACATTTCAAAAAGTATATTTTAATGTAGGTACATACATTTCATACATTTCAAAAATTATCTTTTAATGTAGGTACATAACACCCCATGTCAGACCCCTTGTATTTGGAAGAAACTTAAAAATAATGCCAACAGAGTAATATTACTCGTAATAAAAACATTTGTAACACCCATATGTATACTACGTATGTATAGTAAGTACTTACGCTGCGGCGCCGTGAGACTCGTCTAAGTACCTCATCTACTCATCTACGCGCGGTAACCGCGCCGACCGACAATAGGAGCGCGCCTCTCGTGTTTCCAGAAAGTTCGCGACTAACGGACGATATAGTAGTAAGGCAATGAGTGTCCCAGTGACATCATTATAATATTTTCTCGTTAAATTTTATTGTAATATACACAATTTCGCACTATATAACGTGTTACCCCGTTACACATTTCTAATAATGAAAAACCTAGACCGACCCTGTTCACTTAATCTTACAAGATCTGACTTTAAAAATTACGATATCCTCATATAGCCTTTCATTTCCCCTTTCAATACTTTTTCGCATTAAAAAGTAGCCTTTCTCAGGGTCTACATTATCTGTCTACCAAATTTCAATTAAATCAGTTCAGTAGTTTTGGCGTGAAAGCGAGACAAACAGACAGACTGAGTTACTTTAGCATTTATAATATTTGTAAGAATATCGCTATTAAAAATAGGGGTTGGTGAAAGACGGGTGAAAATTTAGGCGTGTATGTATTTTCAATGTAACATTATAAATAAATAAAAAATTGTCCATAATTAAAAAAATATTTTTTTTGGGTAGGCCACCCCTATGACTTAGGGGTATAAAAAATAGATAACAACCCTCCCTCAGACCTGGCAAGTATACATATCAAATTTCATCAAAATGTGGGAGAAATATGGCAACTAACTGTGATACAAAATTTATATATAAGATATAGCGGAATTCTCATTAGGTAAAAGAGGGGTACATCGTAGAATACATGAGGTATATACCAGTAAATTAATTGTAGCTAAAATCAGTCTCATACATATAACGATTGAAATAAAAAATCGTATAGCCCGATTTTGATACGTACGAGTATAAACGTATCAAAATCAGGCTATACGTATAGCGCAGACGCGTTACAACATATCAAAAAAATAGGCATGGAATGTAAAATAAACCATAACATAATAGGTATATACATTGTCATATCTGCAGAGTGTCGGCTAACGATATTATACTACACATTTACAAATCTTGAATCGTCCCTAAAACACGATACAGTTACCTACATATCTATTATATACATATCTTTGCAAAACAGATGTCATGTAGACTGAATTGACTGCCATCTATTTTCATGCTTTGTTATAAGCACCTACTAGTAATCCGAACTGTCTCATCAGCAAGACATATAACGGCTACGCGTTTAGTCCAAGAATCATTATTAAATTAATCATTTTCTTAAAATGAATAACTGTATGTAATATATATAAAATCATGTGCTACAAGTAAGTTGGATAAATAGTTTTTATATCTACCGCTCATTCGGAAAGCTGTCTCATCACAAGATTATATAACACTCGCGTTTAGTCCACATCATTATTATAATTAATCTGTCTTAAAATGAATAACTCTAAATCTATATAAAATTATAACCAGTAACTAAAACGTCAACTAAAAATATTCTATATTTGTATTAAGTTTCTTTATTCAGTTCTGTGGCTATACTGGGTAATATTAAAAACAGTGCTATTAACATATTTCTTACCACAGACTTGCCCCTCTCGGATTGTTGAAGGCAGCAGTTCAGAATCTCATCATCGGGCAATTCACATGGATAAATATGAGAATTAGCATCCCTCAATGACTGTCCTGAAAAAACATATGAAATCAAATCTTTAGTTGCAAAATACATTTATAAACACTAGCTTTTGCCCGCGGCTTCGCTCGTGTTAACTTATCCCCTTAGAGGTGGAATTTATCAAAATCCTTTCTTAGGGGATGCCTACGTCATAGTATCCACACGATCCATCCAGTGGTTTGGGCTGTGCGTTGATAGATCACTATGTCAGTCACCTTTGAGTTATATATATTTAGATTTACTAATAATACACTTCATTAACTAAAAAATGAACTTTAATATTAAATAAATAAAGTTCATTTAACAAAAATATTTTGAGAGAATACAGTTTATTATTAATCCTATTTTATATATATTTTTAATCTTCTGATATCGTAATATGTACTGCTGTAAGCGTTCTGAACACGGGTCGACTGGATATGGCAGTAGTTGTAAACAATTATCAGGAACACACTAATTTAATAAAACATTTAGGCCACTGACCTATAGTTACAATATTATGAATGAGTGATGATGTGCGGTCTGGGTATTTTCTATGTATAATATGTATGTATTTACGAAAAAAAATATCTATGTACTAGCTGTCCCGGCAAACGTTGTTTTAATTAAAATAAAAAAATAAAATTAGGATGGACTACCCCTAACATTTAAAATAGATATATATAGATTAGATTTACATTTATAGATTGACAACATGTAAATTTATTAATTTTATCAACCATCGTATCAACATTTAAATACAATGTACATTGTTCATAAATAAAAAAATAATAAATAAATAAGATGTTGGCCGATTCTCAGACCTACTCAATATGCTCACAAAATTTCATGAGAATCGGTCAAGCCGTTTCGGAGGAGTATGGGAACGAAAACTGTTACACGAGAATTTTATATATAAGATATTTGTATCAGTTGTCTAGTACCCATAACAAAAACTTTAGCTAGCTTAACTTGGGTCCAGATGGCGCTGTGTGAATTGTCCTGAGATTATTATTATTACTATTATACTATGGATTATGATACCTTTTATCCTATCATTCTCAGGTAAGGACTTGTACAAATGGAAAATGATAAGAAGAGTCGAGAGAAGAGAGAGAGAAAATTCATGTCATATTAGCCCATTTGTCTGCGTTTCCGTTGTTTTTCGTAAAATAAGCCAAATCACCAGACTCCAAATAGAAATATTTCATATTATAAAATATTCGATGGTTTCCAGAGGAACTACGTAGAGGTCAACCTGATATGGTACATCAGGCCACATTACTAACAATACCCTTTCCCCCGTCTCTGGTGATGTTCATGCATATTCTGCACATACGACGACCTCGGTGGTCTAGCGGTCTAGCACACTGCTTTACGTCCTATGGTCGCGGGTTCGATCTCCGCACGGCACAAACATTTGTATTCATGAGCATGGTTGTTTATATCGGTCTGGGTATTTTCTATGTATAATATGTATGTATTTACGAAAAAAAATATCTATGTACTAGCTGTCCCGGCAAACGTTGTTTTAATTAAAATAAAAAAATAAAATTAGGATGGACTACCCCTATTATCTTGAAGTGTAAGTTCGTTATCGTTATAGCCGTGTTGGCGTACTGAGTGACCAAATCCTGATATAAGTTCTGGTCGGACATCATAATTTGTTGTTGTTGGAATGTGTAGTGTTGATCTTTAAATCCATATTCCACTGGAAATGTGCATTTAAAATAGATATATATAGATTAGATTTACATTTATAGATTGACAACATGTAAATTTATTAATTTTATCAACCATCGTATCAACATTTAAATACAATGTACATTGTTCATAAATAAAAAAATAATAAATAAATAAGATGTTGGCCGATTCTCAGACCTACTCAATATGCTTTCACTTTGTCTTTATTTTTATGTAGTCCATCTTCATCTAAAAAAAGTTTCATTTCTGAAGAACTTGAGAATCGGTCAAGCCGTTTTCGTCATCCATTTCTAAATTTAGATAGGCTTGGAGTATATGTTCATCCTTGATACATTTGTTAAGGGTTACCTTGTAGTCTGCGCACAAACGGATAGTGCCGTTAACGAATGGTCCACTTTAGTAATGATTCCTTCTGAACATAGTCGCTCTATCTCTTCATCAACTTTTTCCTTTAAAGCATACGGTATACGACGAGAATAAATATTATATATAATTTGGTATTTTTCCTAAGTAAATACAGTTTCGTATTCTTCTAATAATTGATCAAGATTCGTAGATGGTTCTGAATTTCGTATTATATTGATATCTGATAATTTTATTGTAAGTTCTTTCATCCAGCTTCTCCCAAAAATTGCGTCAACATCTTGGTTGATTATATATAGTTTTCCATTAAAGGTCTGATCTTTGTATGTATATTTGACGTAGGTGACTCCTGACGGTTTAATAATTTCTCCAGTGTATGTTCTTAATTTCATATCAGTTTTGAATATTCGGCGCTGTGTGATATTGATGACAATGTTGCTCCAGAAACTCCATATTTGGTCTGTTCTCATTTTTATTGGGACTGTATTTCTCTGATATTTCACTTTTCATGGATTGATGTCTCCCATGTTTTCATCGCTTTTATCATCTAATTTATTCATATCTCAAGCAAACACGCGCTAAATGACCTGTTTTACTTCATGCAAACGGATTTTACAAATAGACTGGTGGTCATTTTTTCCACATCGGCATTTTCCTTTCAATTCTTTTATTGTTATTGGTAGTCTTCGATTTTGTATTTGAGATGGTGGTGTATTAGGCTATTGAGGCTGTCAGAATATCGGTGTGCGTTGTTGTTTTCCGTTTTCCTTTCCATGATGACGTACCAATCTTGTAAAAGGTGGTGTTTCTCGCTCTTGTAGTATTCTTATTCTTATATCACTGTCCTTCAATCCTCGGATAAATTGTAATGATGGGTGGTTTATGGCACTTTGACATTTAACACAGTTATTGGACAAAACATACATTGCATGTTTCATCCTGTTTTTGTCTAGCAAATTTGTTTAATGCCCATACATCATCTATGTGGTCATCTATTACGAGTTTCTATAAAGTTCATGTTAATCGGATCTTCAGGCGAGCATAGGTCGTGTAACTTTTCGTGAAGTTCAGTTAGTAGTAAATATACCTTCATTTTACACTTCTATGTTGTTTAATAAAAAATATAAACATTTTATTCATGAAATTTTTAAAAGTTTCTTTTTCTTGAAATGATTGTTTGTCTAGACGTGAATTGGTGCTCGAAGGTGATGGGGATAGCTGTGGTGCTGTGTATATTTTGTATTGTAGTATCAAAAGTTTGGTCTTTAAAAATGTACATTTCTCTTCAAAGTCGATCTGTTCTCTATTTCTTCATTAAGTTGTTCTTCTGGTGATTCTGTTTCGATATCATGTTGTTTCTTGTAGTTTTCGTAAAATTGAAGTCTTGACTGAATTTCTTCTTGAGGGATTGTTTCGTTAGTGGTTATATAATTTTCTAATTTTGTAAGTAAACCTCACTCGTGTTTTCTTCAATTTTTTTATATAGATGTTGACATTCAATTTATAAAATACGTGTATTTACATAAGTTAATTTATTAGAATAGAAAATTATGGACATATGTCAAATAGAAATATTTCATATTATATAATATTCGAACTAGCGACTGGTCAGTATATGACATTTCCCTTCACTGCTCTGCTCCTATAGATCGTAGCGTGATAAAAAGTATACTATAACCTGCCCAGGAGTATGAAGAATAATTGTGCCAAGTTTCGTTAAAATCCGACGAGTTGTTTTTATTTTTATAACAAACATACAGACAGACAGACAGACAAAAATTTTACTGATTGCATTTTTGATTTCTTTTTTTAATCACAGCCACAGCAAAAGCATTTACAAATTACACTGTTAATAGAATTGGTAGCTTAAATGACACTGTCATTACAATAATGTAGGATATCTTATTTTTAATTTTATTATTCACTAGCTGTTCCCGTGACTACGTCCGCGTGGTATTTAACTTTATTTTTCAAAAATAAAAGTAACCTAAGTATGTAATAAGGAGTTTATTACATCAGCTACCTGCCAAAAAAAGTCTCATCAAAATCGGTCCAGCCATTTCAGAGATTAGCCGGAACAAACAGACAGATAGACAGACAGACAAAATTTTAAAAAAATGTTATTTTGGTGTATGTACCGTATTTATATTCAAATGCATGTAGTAAAAAACGGTTATTTCAATATTACAAACAGACACTCCAATTTTATTTATATGTACAGATAAAACTCACCTTTTATATGAGAATTGAGGACATTCTTAATAAAATCCAATTCATGAATAAATACATTTGTATCTACTACAACAACCAGATCCTCACTTTTATTGGCTCCACTGTTTTTTGAAAACTGAACTGACGGTGTTTCCATTGCCTAAAATTAATAAAAACTTATAAATTATAATTATATAGCATTCGTTTTTAGAACATAAGACATGTTGCAGTTTGGTTGCCTAGAAGTAATCACTAGGCTCCCAAACTCTGTTCAATGTCTGATAATGCCATGTTTAGAGGGCTGTAGACTCAATAACCGTAAGTAATAACATTATATGCCAGATTATATGTTCCACAATTACTATTTATTGGTAAACCTTCCTGGCTTCACCCTGGTCATCAAATAGCTCATAACTTTGTGAGTTTTGTGCATATTAACATAACATACAGCTTACATCACTCTGAATTTTGTTTTATCAATGATATATGGAATGATGCACCCGCCTGCGCTAATGGTTTACGCTGGCGGGGCACCAGTGGAGGATGACAAGATGAACATGAGGTCAGGTCAGTCAGGTAGTCATGACAAATTCACCAGGAATTTATCACGATGGTTTCCAGGGGGTACCGCATGGAGGTCAACCTGACATGGTATATAGCTAGTAATGCAGTCATGAGTCCTCATTACTAACATTCCCCCTTCCTTAACTCTGGAATATTGTACTTTACAAAGAGTGAAGGAATCCTTGAAATTGGTACAGTGGTTCTGGAAGCAAATGGAATGGAAAGTAAAACTCTGGAGTTTAGTTGCCTCATGAGAAAATCTGCTCTTTATAATATTAGTATGGATAATACAAACCTCTTTAGATACATAATCAACATCCATTGCCTCGCTACATACATTTTCATTACTTATACTATTTTCTAAGCTACCATCTTTGTCTATTCCAATCTCATTACTCAACCTATTTCTTAAATTACTCATTCTATCCTGGGCTGAGCTAAAATTCTTCACATCAGTATCTTTAGACGGCATTTTATAGGACAGCTTCGATTTGATAGCAGACATGAGCTTACTGGCTTCGGAAAACTGTGGTGGGGTAGCTGGGTGCTTCATGCAAGGATATTCGGGAGTCTGATTACAAATACCAGCTTCTATATCCGCAAAAGTGTTGTTCTGGTTTGATTTATCACAGTATTTATCAGGTAATTGAGCTTTCATTGATGATATGATTTTGTTTGCTGCAAAAAATTGTGACGGAGATGGTGTGGACTGTACACCATCACTGCTTGGTGACGGTGTTGCTGTGGAGCATTTTGAGTCATTTAACACTGGACTTTGCACCTCAGTTTTTATTATTTTGCTTTGTGTTTCCGTTTGTGTAGAGTTTGGACTGATTCTTTTTGCATTAACTTTTTGTGAGGTATGGTCCAAATGAGAGGCCTCTTCTCTCTCTGCTTCGGCATTTAATTGCGCCCTTAGCTGAGACAGACGACAGTTAGCTGTGTTCTTGTTCAGGCTTGACTTTGTTGGACTAACTTTTTTACTTGAACTGCAACTTTTTGATGGACTATGTTTCTCTGACCTTTTTATTGGTGTGTGCATCTCATGTATTGGATGTTCATATACTTCTGTAAAGACATATCATATATACATAAATATAACAAAATATGTTTTGCTACTTATATATATTATTATATTATATTATATATATTATTATATTACATATATATACATAGTTAATTAGATGTCAACAACTTGTACTTGTAGTATGCAATTTCAAGCTAGAAAATTCATAACAATAGAAATTTATGGAACATTTAAATAAAAAATAATAAAGTACCTTAAAAACATAGCTTAAATTAAAAAAATAAACAAATAAAATTATTGCACTATTTTATGTATAATTGAATCCAGGATTCCCATTAAATGTGATTTTTTACATTGACATAAAAAACAAAGCTAACATTATAATAACATACTAATTAAATGGCCTAATATACCTTCTTTGTGTCTTTTCTTTGCTGAAACCTCTTCATAGCCATCACTTTTCCTCTTCAAAGAGACTCTTGGAGGTTCATCCCGTTTACTCTTGTCTTCCTTCTTTGTTTTGTATTTCCTATTTCTATGTTTACTGTGCCCACGACATTTTTCGCTAGCCTTGAAAAAGTTGTACAAAATATTGATTAGCTACACATTTGCCAGCAATTTATAGCATTGATGTAAGATTTAAATAACTTTGTATTGTGAATTAGAAAATAGATGGCATGTAGTATTAAAAAATTCTGTAAGGTACATTTAATTACGAAATTTACCTGCGGTTTTGTCCAAGAAGATTTTCCTGTTTTCTTATTGAAAAAATACTTTCTGCCGGGGTTTGATTTGGAGGGACATAGAACCCAACCATCGGGTAGTTCGCGATCTTCATTTTTATTCGAACTCATGTCGAATTATTGCAATAAATCAGTGAATAAAACATTTAGAAACCCATGAAATATGAATTTGTCTGTATTAAAATTTGACAAATTGGATTTTTTTAAGAAATTCTCTATACCTGTTGTAATCTATGGTATTTTTGTTTTCACAAAACAACAACAGTGTTGCCACTTGCCATTTGACGGGAAAATCTCCTCCAAAATTAATCTATCAAACTTCTTAACTATTGTATGCTGTATTCATTTATATAATTAAAAGGAGCCAGAAATAGTACGTTGTTTACCGACTAGTTACATGTTTTATTTCTTCTGTTTATTCATATAAAACCGGATGAATGATTGTATTCAATGTATAACTAACATATTCTATATCTGTGGTGATTGTTTCCAATGTTAGAAAGTGCTCTGCAATTTAATTTCTTTGCTTAAATAACGTACTCTGTATTATTTATTTATAACCTATTTATTAAATAACAAACTTTAAATATAATGGAGAAAGTTGTAAAATTTGCTAAAACGATACGTAATAACTGGAAAAAATCTGTACTTGGTGTAGTCGCATTGTATTACGGAGGTTCAAAAGCGAAAGAAAAATATCAGTAAGCTCTTCTAATTTATACTCTTCTATCGTATAATAATTTATTTATTTGGACAACAACAGCATTCTCACAATTATTATACACCTTTATATTTGCCCACCGTTAGCAAATTATAGTAATTCATAAAATAATTGAAAAACAGATAATTTTTATAGACCTTCATAAATTTATTCATGGCCTTTAATTCATAGTGAATAAAATAGATATCTACTCCAAAATTGACTTAATAAGCGTTATTCTACTATCCTGTGTTATATAAAATTATATTTAAGTGACCTAAACTAAACATATAATAAAAATGTAACTGATTTCATAACTGATTTACTGTAATTATATGGTAAATGTATGAGAAAAATCTATTGATGTAGGACTTATCGAAATACTAGAACACAAAACAAAGATTGTTATAATCTTTCCCTTGCCCGATATTTCAGAAACGGCTTAATAAATTTGGTAGTTGTAGTAATCTTCACTTAAAATTCAATTTCCGGTGCTTAGCTAGTAATTGAAGGTATTTCTTACAGTATTAATGTTTTAATGAGAGCGGCGTGTAAAGAAGCTTCACAGTATGGCGACGCGTTAATTCCAATGGAAAGAAATCCAACCACAATAACTGTGATACTTAATCCTGTCGCAAACAAGAGGAAGGCAAAACAGGAATTTGAGAAGTACTGTGAACCACTTCTTCATTTGGCCGGGTTACAGGTTAATGTTGTACAAACAGCTTCGGAAGGGAATGCTAAGGAAATAGTGGAAACACTGCATGGTACAGAAGCTATTATTGTGGCCGGAGGTGATGGGACGCTGTCAGAGACAGTTACAGGTATTGTTATAGCTATTTTATTATTATTATAGCTTGAAACTTCCACATAACACATATACTTTAATATTTTTGGTTTATTATTTTTTTCTTGTTATGTAGCATCCTCGGGTAAATACCTCCCCCATCTTCTGCCAACTCAATCCATAGTAGTTTGCATCCAGTTGTTTCCTGTATTTTTGTCATCAATCCATTTTTTTTTGCCGTCCTACTCTTCTTTTGCCATTATTATTGTAACTATGCTTTTACCTAAATGTGCTGATATACTCTTAATATTAATATATTCAAATATAGAACATAATACTTTATAGATGTTGCCTTACAGTCTAGAATTCTGTTGTACTGCTACATTCAACAAGTTCTTTTACAATTTTTAATGACTTAATGTCGAAAGATCTATTTGCCTGCAGTAACAGTATACACTTGGTAGGGCATGAGTGGAGGATAGGATGAGCATGCAAATAGCTAGTCAGTTAGCCAGTGTGATGAGGAAATAACCATGATGGTTTTCAGGGCGAAGTAAGTGCTGTCAGCCTGGTATATTGTTAGTAGTAGTGTAATTCCCATTATAAGATTATTAAGTAAATCCAAATGTCTACAATTTTGTCACTTGATCATTATCATCATTCATATCATTTTGCTATCCTTCACATAACTGAAGATTTAACAGTCTAGTCTCTGGATTGTTATCTAACCTTACATAATCTATAGTGTGTAAATGTGAATTTATAGATTCCTATTTAAAATAACTTTACAAAATTTATGTATTTTTTTAAATGCTATACATACATATGCTGATGTGTACCAGTAACAATCAGAGGTCAGCTCTGTTAGCCTATTGTGACACATTAACCACAACCAGATGGAGCTGCATAAAATCAAAGGGATGTTAGGAAGCTCCGTAATTGTAACCAAAACTATCGAATATCCGCTTTAAAAATATATTCCTAATAACCGAATCGGAAAGATAAGTTTCTGATAATATTGGATAGGGGCGGAGCCTACTTGAGACACGTTATATAACCATTTTATTAGCTATTTGTATTTTACTTTAGAAAGTCCTTAAAAAAATAATATCCATAACCGAAATTATCCGAAACTAACGGATAATCCGAAATAATTTCATATCCGAAACCTATCCGTATCCGAAATTTTATATCCACAACATCCCTGATTTAATGTACCAATTCTCTTCCCCCCATGAATGTATATTGACTATATTTATATGAATTGTAGCTATAAAAAAATATAATAATTAAAGCTTAAGGAAATATTCTCAGGTTTACTACGGCGTAATGACGATGCTAATCTGTTTCCACTGGGTGTATTACCTCTTGGTCGTACCAACACCTTTGGTAACAGTCTTTTCCCGGGAGGCCAAGGTGTTGAGAAAGTGAAGCAGCTTATTGACGCCAGCATGGCTATCATCAAAGGGAACACCACCTGGAAGGATGCTATGAAGATAGAACCTATACTGAATGACGAAGAAGTACCAAGCCGCCCAATATATGCCATGTCTTCAATTGAGTATGGTGCTTTTAGAGACACGTTAGCAAGAAGAGATAAGTACTGGTTCTGCGGTCCCCTTAGAGAATATGCCACATTTCTGTTCAATGGTTATAAAAATTCACTAACGTGGGACTGCAGTGGCACAATCAGATATACACCACCATGCACAGGCTGCGGCAACTGTATACAGAAGAAGCCAGAATTCAAGACAAAGTGGTCCTTCTTCTTTCCTACCACACCTGCAACTCCACAAACAGATCAAACTAAACAATTAAATCCTGAATGTACAACAACACAAGAGCTGTGTTATAAAAGTTGTGATTTAAAGATACAGACCGAAAATAAAGAAGATCAAATACCAGCGATTAATGTGTTGATAGGTAAGAATGCATATTCATATACAGAGTTTGTGTCGGAAGGCTGGAATCGCTTGAAGAAAAATGGTTGTGATGCGCACACTATTCCGGTAAGGACACTGGAATTGATACCAAAGCAGGCAGTGAATGAATCAATGCTGGAAATAGATAGAGAGGAGTTTGAAGTCAAGCCAGTCAAGATTACTCTGTTACCTAAAGTGATAAAACTGTTTTATAAACCACAATTAAATGTTTAATAATGTTACAAATTGTTTATTTATTATCTCATGAGCCAGTTGACTTTGGATAGTAATTCAATTGAAATCAACTACCAAATGTAATACAAATGATACTAATATATTATATTATCAACTACCTGTTTTGGTTTCGCACGTATTAAACATATAAACCTATATATATATAATATATCTTCTTATATATAAAATTGTCGTCTTACAATGTTAGTTACCATACTCATTCGAAACGGCTTGAGCGATTTTTATGAAATTTTATATGCATATTCATTAGATCTGAGAATCGGTTACTATTTTACATACCCTTAGTGATAAGAATTGTCCATCCCTAACATTTTTATAATTTGCACAATTTTTTTATATTAAATACATGCAATCACAAATTTTCACCCTTCACCAACACCTATTTTTTAATAGCAATTTTAATTTTTATGGCAAAAAGACGTCTGCTGGGTCTGCTAGCATTAATATATAATTTAATAATTATATTGTACATCTGTTAATTAAGGTCTTACAATAACAACGCACATTACAACACAGATTCTTTATTATATTTATGTTGAACATGAAACATTTATAAATTGATAGAGAAGTTGATAAAGTTTTATGTTACTGGGACTAACAGTTTTCTCATATTACATGTACTAACATTGATTATTGGAATATATATATACGTTCTAACTTTGTCGATTCCTCAAGGCTGAGGGTCATGACCACTAGGAATGTTTCGTCCAACCAATGCTCTCCAGGGATACTGTGCATGTGTGATTGTATCTGTGCCAAGTGGATCGCCCGACTACATATATCGCTTGCAGCCTCTCGAATGTAATCAGTCCATGATGCAGGTGCCCTACCTCCGCCCTTTCTTCCGTCATCTGGTCTACTATTATACATTTAAAAGAACTCAAACTATGATTATTAGATATTGTTTATAAAGTTACAATGTTTATAATGTAAAGCTACAATAAAATTAATTAAAATTGCAACACCCAAGTTTCTTTCACGTTCTTAATCTACCGCTCATTCGGAAAGCTTTTCAAAAGAAGAACGTGTCTTGTGAAAAGCTTTCCGAATGAGCGGTAGATTAAAAGAGATTAAGCGATTACATACATTGGTAAGTTTATTTGAATAAATGAGTTTCTATTCTATTCTATTCTGGTACTGTTTATACTAATGAATTGAATTTGGTTTATATAATTTTAACACCATAAAGTAAGTTACAATATATTCTGCCTGGCGTACTCCCAAACGAAGATGGCGGCCGTAACATGAACGTTTAATGATCTAATCATGCCTTGTTGGGGTATTTCTACGCAGTAGTCCATCAGAGGGAGAAGATCGCAGGGCACTCCCTCCTTTTCGTGTCTGTAATAACGTAATTTATATAAGCTGGTGGCAAACAACCATTCTATTACTATGTTCTTTTTGTTATGGGATTCTATGCAGGGCCGACGGAAACGGACATGCAACGCATGCGGGCGCATCGTCTAAGGGGGACGTCATCACGAGATTTGGATATATACTATAACTAGCTTTTGCCCACGGCTTCGCTCGCGTTAATTTATCCCCTTAGGGGTGGAATTTATCAAAATCCTTCCTTAGGGGATGCCTACGTCATAGTAGCTTTATGCATGCAAAGTTCCAGCCCGATGGGTTTAAATTGACAAAGTTTCATACAAACTTCCATCCCCTATTTTATCCCCTTGGGGGTAGAATTAATCAAAATCCTTTCTTAGCGGATGCCTACGTCATAATATCTACCTGCATGCCAAGTTTCAGCCCGATCCGTCCAGTAGTTTGGGCTGTGCGTTGATAGATCACTACGTCAGTCACCTTTGACTGATATATATTTAGATTTTATTAAAATATAGAATCTATAGAATACTTAATAAATCATAATAAATAATGTAACTTAACTATGATACAGAGACATAAACCGCGCTAGGATAAAAATTGCATGCCGGGCGCTGAGGACCCTAGCGCCGGGCGTTATTCTATGGAATGTTGCGTCCACCAAAACTGATGAAATAGCTCTAATAGTAGGACAATAATGAATTTTTATCAGGTTTTAACAACAATATAAGTTTAATTTAGAAATAACGCGAAACAGAAACAACTTTGTGAGAACTTTGTATAGCAGGCATTTTTTTACGACAGGTTGACGTCATTGGTTACGTCATTGCTATCGTACCGTATTGGCGCGAAATCTAAATTATGGTTATAAAACGCAATATGTCCCTTATGTCTTAATTTAAAAAGAGTTATTTTGTATAAATAATGATTGTAAGAGCAATGTGGAGTATTTTTAAAATATGCGTCATAGAGCCTATTGTATACAATTGCAATTTAATAAAAAAAAAACTTACCCTAGTAATAACAGTGTCTTCTGAGGAAATTTGAAGGTGTCCAGTCGGCGACTGTTGGATGTCTGCTCGGCCGCTATCACGGCATACCCTTCACCTTTCTTCTTCATCAGGTACTGCTTGAGAGCAAGACCAGGTCTCACTTCTTCCACATCGATCCATCTTTCGGCAGACACACTGTGGAAAGGGGGGGAGGGGATTGTTAGAAACATGAACTTATAACCCCTATGCCTAGCAATGTACCATGTCAGGTTGACCTCCACGCGATGGTTTCCAGGGGTTTCCTCCTAGGGGTAAGTTCATCATGAATTTACCACGATGTGCTAACTGACCTGACTTCATGTTTATCTGATCATCCTTCAGTGGTGCCCCGCCAACGCAGACGGGTGCACAATTCCATTATCATCAATAAGACACACCATGGGTAAAAACTTTTATAATTCATATATGTATTCATATTTAGGTTAAATATTATATCATGAATTTTACTAATCTTGTTATTAATATTATAAATGCAAAAGTGTGACTGTGTTTTTTTTTTTTTAGATTTTGTACTATTGTTTTATTTGTGTATTTTTTTATATTATAACAAACGGACTGTGTGAAAGATAATATGGTAAGAAAGGAAGTAAATAACGAGATGACTGCGAACAGGGATAAATGAAAACATATTACGACGACCCCAAATAAATGGGATAAGGAAGAAGCAGATGACGATGATGATGATGATGATGATGATGATAACAAACGCTACTTTACAAAGTACTGCAAACCTTAAACTTTGAAACTGTTTGTCATGCAAGTGTCGTAAACTGTCTACGACATACGTCTTCACTCCAAACACTTCGCTTGTCCGCGCCATCCCGCCCAGGTTTGGTAACTTGTCTATGAGTGTAGCAACCACAATCATATCACTAGGGCTCTCTCTCTGAAAAAATCCAAAATGCCGTTTTTCTACGTGGAAGAAATTGCGTGTAAGTCATTATATTTCTTAAATTCCAAGTAATTGTATTGGCAATCAGACTTTAGGGAAAGTGGCCGTCATCTATATACATGAACAGCACCACAGACACCTTGTCAACTGATGCCCATGTTACCTCTCAAGCATTGTCGTCTCGGACTAAGGCTGACGATATACAGTCGGGTAGTCGTCATGTTTCCGAATGGGACTGAATGTTCCGATAGCGAGTCCAAGCTTCAGAAGCAGGTTTCCTATTTGGGATACCTGACGACTCACCCAACTGTATATCGTCAGCCTAATGTGTAATGTGTTATATAGATTACTAGCTGACGCCGCAAACGTTGTTCTGTCATATAAATTAAAATCGATATAAAAAAATTTATGTTGTTAGAAGGGAGAAAATTTGAGGCTTTATGAATTTTTAATGCCACATAATAAAAAACTACAAACAACAAAAAACTACAAAATATACATATAAAATTTCATCAAAATTTTCAAACCGTTTTGGAGGAGTATAAACACCAAACCTGTGATAGGAGAATTTTATAATATAATTGTAAGATATCCAGAGCCTACAAAACAAAGCAAAAAGAAAATAAAATTATGTTTATAAGTTTTAATACCTTCTTGTTCACTGCATTTGTACTAACATCACCCATGTTCTTCCACGGGATATATTTCTTTTGGATTGTTCCTGCGACTTCTGTATCCTCAAATTTACTTGCAGAAGTATATCCAAATTTATATCTGAAAACTTCTTCATCCGGTTTACGACATGCTTTCCACTCAGTTTGAAAATTACTACATGTCTTGTCAAAATTTTCATTTATAATTCCTAGAACACTTCCAACGAAGTCTATATCGACTTTCACATGCGCAGTTTCAGCGTATTTCGTCAAGAAATAATATATAAACGCAGGCGTTAGATCGGCCACGATATCAAATGTATTGAATAAATAATCATGTTTCATTTTAACAAAGTTTTTATCATTATTGTTGTCTTTGAATGTTTTGTCTATGATTTCTATTGTGTACGCGTATTTTTCTGAGTTGCACTCATTTAATTTGTGAAGTTCTGTTGCCATATACTGTGCGTGGAGTCGTACGTTAAACATTTGGCCCATTGTATGAGACAATAACGTTTCTATTACAAAATTGTATTCATCATTCTTACATGTTTCTTTTGTCAGTTTTCTTTTCAACACCCAAAAAAGTATGACTAGCTGGGATGTTATAGGAACTTTTTTTGATGAAAGTTCCTGTAGTAGCTCCTTATTCAGTTTTGTTTCCTGCAATTAACATTTGATAGGTTAAACATCAGGTAGTGTACATGAATAACATTGACGTCCTTGGCGGTCTAGCGGCTTATCACGCTACTTCACTTCCGATGGTCGGGGGTTAGTATACTCGCACGGTACAAACATTTGTATTCATTAATATGACAGTTTGTATCAGTCAGGATGTTTTCTATATTTATATCAGTTGTCTAGTATAACCAATACAAGCACTGCTTGGCTTGGGACTAGATGGCGTTGTGTGACTTGTCCTGAGATATAATTAAGAGCATAAAAAATATGAAACATGAAATTCTTACCTGAATGTAACAACATAATGCTATAATCCACTCCAAACACAGTCTAACATTCATTTGGTGTGGCAGCTTTCCCAAGAACTCTGCACACCAATTCCTGAGAGATTCAGTACCTAGTACTTCCGATTTCAACAGCAAACATAATAAATGTTGCAGAGCTATCAATACAGTCCTATGTGACTGTGATCCTGCATGATACCTCTGTTTGTTTTTAAATACATCATCTATTTTCTTTGTAATTAATGATATTATGCTCGAAAGGATGTCTGGTTGTATTATTTTGCTTAAGGCTAGAACAGCCAAATATTGTATTTGCAAATTGGAAGTAGTATCACTGGAAAATAATGAAAATATTACAACTAAATTTTGACAATTGTTTAATGGAGTGTACACAAATATATACTTTCTACACATGCCACCTTTTGTCCTTCGTAGAACTCTTATACGCCCGATGCGGCGCAATTCCCCCTCCAATCGATCCCCTGTCGACTTAAAACTGGGATCGATATTACAGCGTTCTCAGATTCAAACCTTGATTTGAACCCATAGCAGAAACCTCAGACTAAAGTCGTATCCGTCATGTGGGAGTTGGCCTTCAGCCGCCCCATAAGTCCGTCATCATCCAGGAGTACCACCTGCACTCGGCCCCTATCATCCGGCGTAGTCTAGCTGCATTGCCAACAGCATTAGATAAGTTCTAAAAAAAATAAATACAAACTTCTGTTCTGTCTCTCGACTGTATTATTTGAAGCCACCCAAATTCTCTATGAAGTAGATCATACACCTAAACCCTAAAAGGACGTGTCCACACAGTCTCAAAATAGCTTTGACAAGAACATAATCCTATTAAACAATGTGTACATGAAAGTTAGTTTCTTGTAATGAAACTGTCATTAATTATTTAAATACTTACTCTAATTGACAACATTCATATTTTGAATCTTCTAATAATTCTATCAGCAAATTCTCCAAAATCCTGTAAAATATAATTACCAAACTTAAGTATTATTTGAACCATTTGCAAACATAACAATAGCTTTTTAAATTGTTACCTCTGGTCTTTTCTTGGCACAGGTGTATATAACAATATTTCAGTTAAAATGTACACTAGCTGTCCATAGTTACTTGTAATCTCTATAGTGTTTAATTTCGTAATAAGAAAAGACAAAGGAATATTCTTTGTAGGTCCAAACTCTATTATTTTATTACAATATAATATTACTGTATTATTATACAATGGTGTTTGTAATATAGTATCTTGCATAATCAAATTAATAAACTCTTCAATGCATGGTGAATATTGATTGTTCGATTTTAATTCTTCTATTTCTTTCCACATTCTACTCATAAATAGTGTTAGATCAAACGTTTCTGCTTTATTTAATATTGTAGGCAAAATCAGATTCATGATTCGTAATATCCATATAAGACACCCATATCCACCACATTCTATTACATTTTCTACATAAGCAATAATATTATTCATGTGTTCATCTACTGTATCAATGTCATTTTTAATGATAGAATGTACTAGTTCACATGAATACTCATATAGAGCATTTGTTAGTCTCCCAACACTCTGCTTGTTATCAAAATTCATCACCAGTTTCAGTACTCTGTCCAAATCCAGCATCTCATGCTTATATTCACATATAAATGTAGAATTTTTATGTAAACTATTTATAACATACATACTAAGTACAGCCTTGTCTAGAACAGTCTCCTTATCATTTATAAGTACATTAGAAGTTGAATACAACTGTAGTAATGTTTCTTTTATGTCAGCGCTGCTTTTAATAATGCTTAGAGAATCATTAAATAGTGGAGTCATTTCATCAATTGTCAATGTAATGTCACTTGATGATAATATTGAATTAATGTAGTATACAATAAATTTAAAATCCCTTTCAATTCTTGTTTGCATTAATTTATTATTAACAGTTTTACTGTACAGTTGTGTGATAAAAACAACATCAACCAGACATTCTTTTTTATTACAATATTGTCTATTTACTACCTCCTGTACTCTTCTAATCTTCAATTGTAATAAATCATCAAATATAAATAACTCATCACCCTCACATTCTAAGTAGAATAAGATGAAGTCTATATTAAGGGTTTCCATAATAGACTCCAAGAATAAATCTTTTTCATCAGCTCTCGAGATTACATATTGCATAATGTCAACAAGAAAACTGTTTTCATAGACATTTATTTCAAGTGATGATAATATACTTAAGAAATCTTTGGAGTGTAAATAAAGACAGCAAAGCTTAAAAAGATTTGCAATATTTATATGTATTGCTTTCCTTAGAGCCACTATATTGCATGGTATTTTCAGTAAATTTTTTAGCAATTGTGCCACCTCATCTTTTCTCATCTCTAAGTGGAGTTTTTCAGATAATTTCAATATTTCTGTTGGCCATATTTCAGTGACAATACTGCTTACATGAAACAAAGGTACCGGTGACCAATTCACTAATGGTAGACTTTTATATATGAAGAGAAAAAATTTTATATCATGACATAAGGTTGTCAGTTTCTTCATAATTATCTGATATTCTGCTGGATTCTCATATATGTTGATATCATTTAAAGCTTCTAGAAGAACTATTACTTCGGGCTGTTTGTAGATCACTGTTTCTAGCCTATAATGAATACATTTAACTCTAACTTCCAAGTTGTCATGTCTCAGGCCAATATTAAAAGCGCAGTTCAACCAAACATGTCCCATTTTACTTAAAGTATGGAATAATGTTAATGATGGTAACACTATATTACTTTGTTTTTCTTCTAAACTATCAATGAGTGTAAAGTAATTTTCCCACATGTTTCTCATGTCGATTTCATTTTTACGATACCATTGTAAAATGGTATTAATTCCAGTCATAATAACAACATTTTTATTCAGAGCAGTTAAGCAATCCACAGCCCTTTTACAGAGATAAATTGATATCTTTCTTACTGTAGCATCTAATGACATCAATCCAGATATAACAATGTTCCAAAACTCAACTTGAGTCACAAGTTCAGATTCAAACGCTAGCTCGCCCTTATCATTGAGTACTGGCAAGTAATATTCTGATAAACAACTCAATACTTTCAGTGCCATCTCTATTTGATCACCCTTGCAGTCTTTTAAATAAAACCAGATGATGTCTAGCACTCTAAAAGTCGAAACTCCTTGGAACAACCTGGGCACAGTGTTGATTAAAAAACTTACTTTCAATTTTTCATTATGACAAAATAATATATTGTTTATGGGTAATTCTAAACAAGGTAAATACAGTTTTGCATCGTTACTTATAACTGTATCAAGAATACTGTCGCATAGTTGGAAATTCAACAGAATGTTACTGGTTGAATTATCCTCATTTAATTTCTCTGGAGAGAAATCTATCGATGAAATTATTTGTTGCAATAAGTGCTCAGATTTGTTGGCTAAAGTACAATTGCTTAAACTTAGCGTAACACTTACTATTTTACATATACCATCAAAATTATCGCTATTCATTTGGTTAATAAGTTTCACGGCGAATGTGTACTCTTCATTGTTCTCACACTCACTGTTTTCTTGTGTATTAATTAAATATTTATATCGTAACAGCTCTAAAGCGTTTGCTAGGTGTTTATTAGTATAACTTTCTCTAACCATTATAGATTTAAGTCGATTATTAATTACTTCTTCGTCCAAATCGAGTAGATCCATAAACGACAAAGCATCCATTTTCACGTCGGTAACTAGGTATTTTCTTATAATTTATTAATATTTACATGCAGATAATTATCGCCACTTATTTTGAATTGCCTATATTTGCCTATATTGATAAAATGTATAAGTAGGAAAAACCATTTATAGCAGATTTTTACAAACTAATAATAATCAATATCGTACACAAGTTCAAAACACATTTTATAATATACATTTTTTTTTTAATTCAAATCTAGATGACCAAAGTGACCAAAACACTACATGAATGTCAAAGCTTCAATTGACGCGTGGTATAGTTTTTTGTTACCTTACCCTGTCGGAAGGGCAAAAGAAACTATACCCATACAGCCAAATCTGTTATTCCCTTTTATTGCTCATTGAACGGGTAATTTGTTAATTGTTGACCTTTTACGTAATGATTGCCCAAATATTTGTGAGCTGTCTTAATAAAATTATTTCTCAAACTGAATAAATGTATTAACAATATAGGTATGATAATATGCGGTAAACGAACAAGTATACACACTGAATTAATTCAATATATCTATTCGACAGTGCCTAATGAATGACAATTGATGTCAGATTGGAGATATTTTCACTAAAAATGGTATAAAGGTAGGAAATAAAAAATATTTCTTATTACCTCAATAGGAATATCATTATATTGTTTTTGTACCCATAGTTGATTGATAAACTTTACAACTGATGTAAATAGTCAGTAATTGTTTTTGTAAATACATACATATTATATACTTGTACCTACACAGAAAATACGCAGGCCGAATTAATAATCATACTCATAAATTCAAATATTTGCATCGTGCAAGAAATCAAACCAGCGAGAGCATTAATTATAGTACAGCTGTTTTTTGTATTTGATTGTGAATGATTTCGTTTTTTCTTAAGTCTTCACTTGGTCTTATAGTCTTTAGATCACTTAGATGAAAAAATCGGATAAAATATCGTCTAAGATGAAAGTGTTTATTCATATTTTGGAAAACAAAAATTATTTACAATAGGTTGATTTTCAATTAATAATTTCCACTTGATATAATACATATTTTTATTGATTATAAATGCCACTCACTGATCTATTTCTTAAGGAATATCAGGTTCAGATAAGTGTTTGACAAGTGGCAACACAGTTTCAGAGCCGTAAAAGTTAAACAAAATAAAAATATCATTTTTAGACTTCTTATCGAACTTCGGTTTTAGTTGTTAAATTAGTTAATTGTTGTTTTTAGTATAACGATTTATTTATTTACCTTTAGAATACTTACTGTTGTGATATACAATTTTAGGGTAACTAAAGATGGAAGATAACCCTTCTACTGACGGCGAAACTCAAGATTCCCCACTTAGGTCTACATTAAGTAGTAAAAAGTTGAAATTAAACGATGGGAGCTCTCAGGACTGTAGTGAAGATGCAGGTAATTTGTTAACATTTGGCCGATCGTACCGTGGGCTAACGTGTGTGACGTAAATACACCTTTTTTGTTTCATTCTGTCATTCAAGCTTCGTCTAGTATTAAAGAAGAGAAAGATGACAATGTTGACAGCGGAGTGTATGCTGACAAATCTGAGAGCACCAGCAGCGACGACCGACTCACAAGAACAAGCGAGGGCCCATCCAATGAGCTCGTCAACGCAGCATCAACTAGTAGTAACGTGCGTGCCATACTTTCGGATATTAAGAATGTCAGACGCGGTCGAAATTATAGGAAAAGAAAAACGCCTGGTAGAGACTCTGATAGTAATGATACTTCTAGAGATTCTGATGATTTATCAGCAGAGGAAACTGTACTCAATACTGGTCCGCAGATGAGCAGCAGTTCAGCAGCAGATAGTGAAGATAATGAACAGAGACTGTTTGGATTATTTTCTAATATGTCTCATAGTGGGTGTGTATTTATTTATTATTAGTAAATACTAGATGTGGCCATTGTTGGTTTGGTTTCTCCGTCATTAAATTGAAATAAATTCAAATTAAAAAATAATTTATTCATGTAGGACATTTTAGCCGCTTATGAATGTCAAGTTTTTACATTATAATTTTTTATATTAAAAAATATAGCCTATATGTTATTCTGTTCATAAGCTATATTACTGTCAAGTTTCATCAAAATTAGTTCAGTAGTTTTTGCATGAAAGAGTAACAAACATCCATCCATACCCACAAACTTTCATATTTATAATATTATTATATTTATTATATAAATTATATAATAATAAGATCTAAGACTAGCTGGTTGCAGTGCTACAGGTCTTAGCATCGACAATAACCCAAAACCCACAATAAAAATATAAAAAAGTACTTTGTTCCTCCAACTTTGTTAAAAACATAATGATATTTAAAAATAACTAGTATAACCTCTGCCTAAACTTCAATATATATGCTAACCTTCATTTGGATAGAAATAAACAAAATCTGTTGCACAGTTATAACATTTGTTATTGTTTGTATTTAATAGTAATTTGTTTTGTAATTTACATTGATATATTTAACTGTTTACTGTGGCAGACAAATTTATTGTCCACCTTTTTGTAAAAGGCAATGTTGATATACCCCTCATATCCTGTATACATTAATATATTAATAATAAATATATATATAATTGGTGTATTAATATTAGATTGTAAATCAGTGTTGGCCCAAAGTTAATCTGATTAACAGTTAAAATTATTACCCAAACAAAAATTGTAAATATTAAAATTAAAATTAGTAATCTTAGTCATTGATCATAATAATGATTAATTGATTGAACATAACAGAGATTGACTGGGTACAGTATTCTGTTGTAACAGCTTAAATGATGCTTGGTGCCTAAAAAAGGCATGACCTACCCACTTATTTCTACAAAGTAATTAAAAATAAAAAACTAATTAATTAGTTTATTCACTATTATATATGCTAAAATAGTATTATATATAGACAAATACATGAATAAATATATTACATATAGACAAATTCATGACAGCTATGGTGTTTCAGGTGTGCATAGGCTATGGGACCTGTTTATCATCAGATGAGCTTTATGCTTGTTTGCCACCTACATGGTATAAAAAAAATACTAGAATGAATGCTCAAACTTTTGTGGTTACTCTAATGAATTTGACACAATAGGCTGACCTCATTTTGTTCCCACCATATCATCCCTTGTTACACTATTGGTATACACTGTGTGCACAGTGGATTCACTAATCCATTAAAAAATAGAAGGGCTGTTCTCCTTTGAAGATAATCCCTCTTCCTACCAAACAAAAAGTTGATATAAAACCAACAAACTTACAAAGCCTTTAAATGGGTAAACACTCTATTTCGTTATAGTCTTTGACAAATCAGTGAGCCGATTGCAAGATATATATGAAAATATATCTTGCAATCGGCTCACTGATTTGTCATGGGAGTGTTGATGGGAGAGAATTGTACCTCCAGTAGAATAGAACAGAAAATAATTTATTCAAATAAACTTAATTTAAGCACTTTTGAATAGTCAAAACAATTTTTTCTGTCTCATCACAAGAAGAACGAGCAAGAAACTTGTGTGTTGCTCTTTTAAATAATCCTTGTAAGTTGCCAGTGAGGAAACTCTCATTTTACTTTAATGTTTCTCATTAGTGAATAAAATCCCATGCATAAATGTCTTTTAAGCCAATAAAAATTTGTGATATAAATTTCAGATTTAAATTGAGTCTTTACAGGTGCTATATCATTAACATGTCAAACAATTTATATTTATATAACTGTCATATATGTGCAACAGATGTGGATACATTTCTTTTTTCTCCTCCTCCATCTTTGGCTTTGCCTCCGCATTTAGCCAATGCCTAAGTTAGGGAAATGTACACAATGTAGTGTAACAGATGTGGCTACATTCTACTACTATATAAATTTATTTTTCTTTAACTACTTTTATGGTCCTGGAAATTTCCTTTCAGCCTTACAAATATTTTATATTTTGGTTATTAATAAAGTGTATTTGTGTAGGTAGCTACACGTTGTTTCGAAACATGTTTTATTTCATAATATTACATGTTAAAGTTAAAGACATAATAATAAAAAACTATATTTTAATTATAAACAATGACATGCAATTTTAAATCATATTAACATATGTAATAAAGATAAGAATAAGTCAGGCACATTAATACAATGTGTTCTTATTAATAATTACAGTATTAGTTACTGAATGATTATGGTTTATTATCTTTATCTGTATTTTTAGAGATAATATATAGACCATGACCACTCATTACAAATTTATTTAAGATTCCATTAGTTATGAATAGATAATAAACACTGACAGACTAATACAATTTCACTTTTGTAATAAACTAGCTTTTGCTCGCGGCTTCGCTCGCGTTAATTTACCCCATTAGGGTTGGAATTTATTAAAACCCTTTCTTAGGGGATGGCTACGTCATATTAGATTTATGCAAGCAAAGCACCTCTATTTTATCCCTTTAGAGGTAGAATTAGGGGTAGAATTAATCAAAATTATTTTCTTAGCAGATGCCTACATCATAACATTTACCTGCATGCCAAATTTCAGCCTGATCCATCCAGTGGTTTAGGCTCTGCCTTGATAGACCACTATGTCAGTCACCTTTGAGTTATATATATTTAGATGGGACAAGGAAAAAGCAGATGATGACTAGCATCTGCTTCTTCCTTATCCTATTTATTTGGGGTCGGTGCAATATGTTTTCTCTTCCATTCATGCCTGTTTTCATCAGGAATCAAAATTATGACGGCCTGAGGTAAGGTTCGAGCCCCCTAGCTGTGCCCTTAGACTAAACTCGCAGGTGTTGGCCTTCAGCAGTACCTTACGTCCTCTCGCGTTATATTATTTTATTTTAGTATACTCATTTTGATGCACGATTTCGTCCGCGTGGAATTTTACTTTAGTTTTCTAAAATAAACGTAGCCTAAGTTACTCTTTAGTACATCAGCTACCTGCCAATAAAAGTCACGTAAAAATCAGTTCAGCCATTTCAGAAATTAACCGGAACAAGTATACAAACATACATAAATTGTAAAAACTGTAATTTTCTGTGTATGTACCGTATTCATATACATGCAGTAAAAAATGGTTATTTCAATATTACAAACAGACGCTCCAATTTTATTTATATGTATAGATTATTTCTTTTCTATTATACAGGTCACCATCATCATTTTCTTCGTACAGTGATGATGATTCCAGTAGTGGGAGTAACATGAATCGGTTGCAGTCAGGAGACACTGACAGCGATGATGATGGCCACTGGGATAGGTCCATGGAATTGGACGAATCCCATAAACCACCTAGTGTATTGTTTAAGGTTCGGCCTAAACATAATTACCATTTGTGTAAAGGTACGTAAATATTTATTTATTTACATAGTATAAAATGAAGTCGCGTCCATTCTGTTCACTTAGATCTTTTAAATTGTGTAATGTCCTTAGTATCTAACACGTGTACTGAAGACCTCGGTGATCTAGCGGTTTAGCACCGCCTTACTTCTGATGATCATAGGTTCGTAGTCTAGCAACTACCGAGACTGTCAATAGACAGTTACATGAAAAAACTAGTAATTAATTAAAGTAAAATGTCCATTGTTCCAGAACTAATAAAACGAGAGCTTGGTTTGACATTTCCATACGGTAACCAAACGAAACCTGATGTTATGTTTGAGAAGAGGTTCTACGGCTCGCTGCACGCCGTGTACAGACTTGACAGTTTACACCACCTGAATGCGCATGCAGGCTGTGTCAATTCTATAAATTTTCACCCCGAAGGTATGTTTAACCTAATATTTAATTACCTTCCCCTGATATTTAATTACCTTCCCCTGATATTTAATTACCTTCCCCTGATATTTAATTACCTTCCCCTGATATTTAATTAAGAGGGGGGGGGGGGAAGGTGATTGTTAAGAATGTGGATTGATGGCCACATTGCTAGCAATGTACCCTGGAAAGTAGACGTCCACGCGGTTCCCCCTGGAAACCATTCTGATAAATTCCTGGTGAATTTGTCACGATGGGCTCACTGATGGTCACCTCATGCTCATCCTCATTATCCTCCACTAGTGGAAGCTCCCCGGCAGCGTAACTGGCGCAATGGTTATCACTGCACGTAAGGTAGTTTCATCCATTGTGTTCGCCCAGAGTTCGGCCCCTTTGCAGAGTTCGGTCCCTAGACCCGTCAGGGTTTAAGAATTAAAGGATATTCTTAGGAACGATGTTTGTCTTTTGATGGGTCTCCTTGGAATAGAATATGTACTTTCCAAGGAAGATATTTAAGGACTTTTTTATGTATTATAATGGAATGGTACACCCGCCTGCGCTAACGGTTTACGCTGGCGGGGCACCAGTGGAGGATGATAGGATGAGCATGAGGTCAGGTCAGTTAGCCCATCGTGACAAATTCACCAGGAATTTATCAGAATAGTTTCCAGGGGGAATCGCGTGGAGGTCGACCTAACATGGTACTTTGCTAGCAATAGGGATTACTAGTTCCCATTACTAACAATCCCCTTCCTCCCTCAGGTCATGTTGAGCGGAGCTTTTATTCTTAAAAATTCGTGCTCATAAAAAAAAAATTTTTAGGTAAGCTTCTGGCATCAGGCTCTGATGACACAAACGTCATAGTATGGGATTGGGCGCGGAATATTCCGTTGCAGTCAATCAAAACTGGCCATAAATCCAACGTGTTCCAAAGTAGATTTTTATATTTAAACTCTGGAAGTCAACTTAATATTGTTACGTGTGCGCGGGATGGTCAGGTAAGTTCATATCGTAGGTACGACAGTCACCTTGAGCGAATTTGAATTTTATTTAAAGAGAACTTTAGCGGCCTTATTACAAAATGTCTTAGATAAATCTGGTTTAGCACTAGTAATAAACCATTCACTAATGTATTCCTTATTACAAAATGAAGTTTATCTCTAAATCGTGATTCGTCTATGGTCTAAAGTTAGACCTGCGATGCCCCTAGTTTAACAGTGGTCTAAATGCAAAAATTCAAACTCCATTTTAAAAATTCTATTTTAAGTTGTTGTTTTTGGAAAAATATTTTAACTAAATTAAAAATATATTTAAAGCAAATTTTACGCCAATAAAAATATATAAAAGACGTTAATTGTTATTTTTATCATTTGACTTTGAAATAGTCATCATTCGAACGATCCAATAAAAATATCTCGCCGTTCCTTTTCTCCGTATAGGACTCCTACTTAATACATAATGAACGATTTATATATAGTACTAAGTAGTCCTCTGTTAGATCTGGATTCGTAATAATGTTAGGTTTATTCGAAGTATTAACTTTAGGAATGGTTTAAACCACGACCATTTAGACCACGTTTCGTCCGAGTTTTAACAGATTTTTTATAATAAGACCGTAGGAGTTTATATTCGGTGCAACCTCTGGTATTACTGATCCGATTTTGAGATGTCTTATAACTTCAGACAACAACGATATGAAGAATGTTGCAAAAACGGGGAAAATATAATGTAGACGAAGTTACGCGGGTCAGACAGTCATCATTATTACATTACATAGTATAAAATAAAATAAAATCGCTGTCGCTGTCTGTCCGTCCCTATGTATGCTTAAATCTTTATAACTAGGCAACGGATTTTGAAGCGGTTTTTTTTAAATAGATAGAGTGATTCAAGAGGAAGGTTTATACATACAGGAAGGATAATACATGTACACCCGGGCGAAGCCGGGGCAAGTAGCTAGTATTGAACAAAATTAACACATTATTAATATGTTGAGAGTGTGATATTGTGAGGTGCGCCTGTAGCACTCACAGTGTTACAGGCGCACACAATAGCCCAAGTCACCAATAAAAAAAAATAGTGTTCCAAGAATAGAACCTATATAGTTATTATATAATATATATATACTAGATGTGCCTGCGACTCCGTCCCCGTAAATTGTCGATATTTCCATATAACCTTTCATCCCCTTACAACCCTTTTCTTGGATTAAAAAGTAGCCTATGTTCTTTCTCAGATTCTAGACTATATGTGTACCAAGTTTCACTTAAATCGGTTCAGTAGTTTTGGCGTGAAAGTGAGACAGACAGACAGACAGAGTTACTTTCGCATTTATAATATAAGTAAGGAGTATATATATGTATATATAATTTAATAAAAAAAAGCCGAGTGTGTCCATCATATCTAGAATCGAATTGTAGGACTGAGATGCGACGGTTAATAATAATAATGATAACAATATCTTAGGACAATTAGCACAGCACCATCAAGTCCCACTTCAAGTAGAGTGTACGGAACACCGTACACTAAACAATAATATACTTATAAATTATCACTTACATAGTATATATCATTTCACTATACATATATTACTATACAATAAATCAGTGTGTAACATCAAGCGCTCACTACGGGACGTATCTTTTATTTATTATCCCCGTAGATTATCAATTATAACTATCAATTATCACTATCAATTATCATTATCAACAATTGTAGCAACAACCCCTATATAGAGCTTGTGTAGTATTTTTTACTACACATTTGATATAAATAAATGTACATACATGTACAAACCTATCCTCTTTTGTAAATACATTAACACCGACCATCGGAAAGTAAGGAGTCTGAGTGTGAGGAGTGCGAGGAGTGTGACGAGCGTGTATGTGCACGTAGGTGCGGCTGGTGCAGTGCGCGGCCAGCGGCGGCAGCGCCACGCGGCGGAGGCTCGGAGCACACGCGCGCGCCGCGCACAAGCTGCACGTGTCGCCCGCCGAGCCGCACCTCGTGCTGTCCGCCGGCGAGGACGGCCTCGTCATGCAGTGCGACGTGCGCGAACACCACGCGGCCAGGTACGTCTCCCGTCGATCACGTACCGGACACGCACGAGCTGCACGTGTCGCCCGCCGAGCCGCACCTCGTGCTGTCCGCCGGCGAGGACGGCCTCGTCATGCAGTGCGACGTGCGCGAACACCACGCGGCCAGGTACGTCTCCCGTCGATCACGTACCGGACACGCACGAGCTGCACGTGTCGCCCGCCGAGCCGCACCTCGTGCTGTCCGCCGGCGAGGACGGCCTCGTCATGCAGTGCGACGTGCGCGAACACCACGCGGCCAGGTACGTCTCCCGTCGATCACGTACCGGACACGCACGAGCTGCACGTGTCGCCCGCCGAGCCGCACCTCGTGCTGTCCGCCGGCGAGGACGGCCTCGTCATGCAGTGCGACGTGCGCGAACACCACGCGGCCAGGTACGTCTCCCGTCGATCACGTACCGGACACGCACGAGCTGCACGTGTCGCCCGCCGAGCCGCACCTCGTGCTGTCCGCCGGCGAGGACGGCCTCGTCATGCAGTGCGACGTGCGCGAACACCACGCGGCCAGGTACGACAAACAGATTTTTTTTATATAGACGATTATAGAATGACGCGGGACGATGGAGATAAGGACCAAAAAAAATTCATGGATTGTGTGAAAGATGATATGTATGAAAGTACTCTCCTTTCATACTTATCATCTTTCACACGACCAGAATTGCTAAGATATGACGGCTCTTAGGGATCAGTGGAGGAAGACACAGTACGCCGACCCCAAATAATGATATGAAGACAAGGTAATGATGATGATGATTACGGAATAGTGCACCCGCCTGCGCTAACGGTTTACGCTAGCGGAGTACGGTTTAAGCATGAGGTCAGATCAGTTGGCCTCATTGTGATCAACTCGCCAGGAATTTATTATGATGGTATCCAGGGGGAACCGCATGTAGGTCAATATTACATAGTAGGTACAATGCTAGCAATGGAGTCATCAGACCGCATTACTAACAATCTGCTTCCGCATATAGGTGATGGTTTCTTTCTTAATGGAATGGCACACCAGCCTACGCTAACTGTCTACGCTGGATACCAGTGGATGATGATAAGATGAACTTGAGGTCTGGTCAGTTAGCCGCGAAAAATTCACCGGGAACTTATCATGATGGTATCCAGAACTGCGTGGAATACCACCCTACCAGCTAATAGGCAGCTTCTTTTTCATTCAAATTATATAAAAAACAATTCCAGGTTGATGGTAGTGAAAGAACCGAAGCGAGACGCGCCGATACCACTGTACACCATCCACGGTCACCCGCTGGATATCCACGAAGTGATCGTTGGTGGTCGCGACAAGTTCCTGCGTACATACGACCGACGGAAGTGTACAAAACCCCTCCATATGTACTGCCCCCCTCCCTTCATAGACAATGTAAGTATACTTAAAAAAAAATCAAAATATCTTTATTCACGTAGGTCTATTACAGACTCTTATGATATGTCAAACCTACCGTCAGTTCGGAATGATTTCGATATGAGAAGAACTGACCAAAAACTCAGCTCGTATTCTTTTCAAATACGGTTGTACATACAAAAATACAGATTCATTTTAAATTAAATTAAATTGAATCTGTTATTAGAGTGCCCACCAACATATGCTATTGCAAATGCAAAAAGTATAATCAGTGTAACTTAAACAGACCAGTCGCCACAGTCAGCACCCGTTCACTAGTATGACGTAACGAAGTTATTTTTAAACATACGTATTTATAACTGATGTGAATGTTTAAAATTAACGTCGAGAGAGGTAGTTAGGAGTCCGTTATCAATATAAATAATGTATAGATAGAATGATGATTTTGAATCTTTATAGATATCTACAAGTATTTATTTTTTCGACCTCACTGATCTAGCGGTTTAGCACACCGCTTTACTTCCGATGGTCACGGGTTCGATTCCTCGCACGGTACCAACATTTGTATTCATAAGTATGATTGTTTGTATCGGCCTGGGTGTTCTCTTTGTATATTATGTATGTATTTACAAAAAAATGTATCTATGTATCTATATCAGTTATTTAGTACACATAACCTAAATTCTACTTACCTTGGGACTAAATGGTGCAGTCTAGGGTTTTTTTTATGTGATTGGAAGTGTAATTATTACTATTTCTTATGCTAAGGTTAGCTTGCGACTAGATGGGACTGAGTAAATTGTCCAGTGATGTTATTATTATCAGTGTGCAGTGATTTATATAAGTTGTTTAGTACCTATAACACAAACTCTGCTCTGCGACTAGATGGCGCTGTGTGAATTGTCCAGATTTATTATTATGTCATTATTATTTCTAGACGGACGTAAGAAAATCGCGGTATTCGAAGATGCATCTCACGTGCGCCATATACAACCACAACGGGTCCGAGATACTAGTCTCCTACAATGACGAAGATATATTTCTATACGATACTAAAAGAGACGTGTACGATATGTGAGTACATGAATTGATTGTAACTAAGGAGACTAACACTAAGAGGACCCTAATATTAAAAAAAAAAAAAGAAAAAGAAAAAATGTGTCAAACAAGCTTACGACCCATCTTCAAATTCAAATTCAAAATATCTTTATTCATGTAGGTCTATTACAGACTCTTATGATATATCAAATCTACCGTCAGTTCGGAATGATTTCGAAATGAGAAGAACTGACGAGAAACTCAGCTCGTATTCTTTTCAAATAAATGTTGTACATGTTTACAATAATACAGAATTGTTTAAATAAAAATTGGGAGAATAGAGTGACCACCAGCATATGCCATATGGTAACCGTAGCCTATAGTCTCTTGAAACACCAAAAGACGTGTACGTAAGTAAATACGTACACAGGAATTACACAGGAATTGATTGTAACCAATTAGCCTAAGAGGACCTTAAAATTAAAAAAAAAAGTTGTCAAACAAGCTTACGGCTCATCTGATGGTAACCATAGCTTATATACTCCTTTTACCATAGCTTATACCCTAAGAGCCCTTAATATACCCTTCTTGGAAACCCCATGCTGTAATCTCTAGAGAAAACCTCGGCAAGTAGTTCATTCAACAATTTACTTAGATTGTTGAATGAACTACTTGCCGAGGTACAAATACAAGACAACTACAAGATTTTACGCTCAAAGACTCTTGAATCCCTGCTGATGCTATTAGGCATCACATTAAATTGAATATGGCTTCCTTTAAAGGGACACAGTACATTTTTTTATTAGTTAACTAGCTGTCCCGGCAAACGTCGTTTTGCCTTAAAATAAAAAAAAAAATTTAGGGGTGGACTGCCCCTAACATTTAGGGGGATGAAAAATAGATGTTGGCCGATTCTCAGACCTACTCAATACGCTCACAAAATTTCATGAGAATCGGTCAAGCCGTTTCGGAGGAGTATGGGAACGAAAACTGTGACACGAGAATTTTATATATAAGATAGTTTATTTTCGGTCTCGGTGGGCTGGCACCGCGATAATTCGACGCGGGTTCGATTCCTGGCACGATAGAGGCATGGTATACTCATTAATATGATTTGTATTATCTGGGTGATTACTATATTTATTTTAAAAAATATTTTAAGTATATCTATCACTTGTGTATATCCTGAACATGTCTACTTAGCTTCCGTCTATATGGTGCTGCGTGAATTGTCCAGTTATTGCTTCTTTTGTTACAGTCATGTTGGTACCGAGTACAGGCTGTGCCAAGGTTCTCTGTATTATTTTGTCTATGGTTTATTCTATTTCAACACACTTGCTCTTATGAAGTGGATCTTTCACAGTTTTCCACATATAAAGCAGATAAAACGCAGTTGAAATTATATTCCATAAACACATTATTTTTTTTTATCAATTTTAAGATGACAGTGTGCCGCGCCCCGATTTAAAAAAATAAAACAGCGGGAATGTGAGTGTGCGTCACAGTTTTATGATTCAGTTTCTTTAAAATCAAATGTGTTGAAATCCGTCGTACGGTATACGTGCGTATTTAACACACTCGGCTCACTTACGCCCTCGCCTTCGGTTCGGGCTGAAATTCCGCCGTGTGTTATAACCATCATAACGCACTTATATCGTATTATAATAATACCGTTACTCCATTAAGAAAGAGACGGGACTATTGCAAATGTATTTACAAAAACAGACTAGTACATATATAATATAATGCAAGTACATATATAATATTTATACGTATAATTAGTAAAAATCACGGGATCTTACCACGTTTTATATTTATTTGCTGAGTTCCCGATATTTCGGCAGTGTTTCAACCATCATGATCACTGGTAAACTCAGTTTACCCGTTGATTATATGATGAGTATGTGGTATAAATGATGACCGCGTCAAATTTAAAACAGTATACATATATGTATACTGTTTTAAATTATATATGTATACATATATAATTCCTTATGAAATAGTAATTCTTCTATTTCTTGTTGGAACTGGTCTGCTCTGATAACTATGGCTGGCTTATTTTGTTACTCAAAAAACTAATCATTTATTTGTCAACTTTTCTATTTGGCAGTTTGTATTCATACAAAATTCTTCAAAGTGTAATTCTGAACAATTATTTAAAAGAGCAACACCCAAGTTTCTTGCTCGTTCTTCTTATAATGAGTCTGCGTTCCGAATGAGTAGTAGAATAAAAAAATATGACTACTACAAAAGTCCTATTAAGATTATTTCTATTTGTTATAAAAATAGAAATATTCTTTATTCGAATAAACTCATTACAAGCACTTTTGAATAGTCATATTTTGATTCTACCACTCATTCGGAATGCAGATTCATCACAAGAAGAATGAGCAAGAAACTTGTGTGTTGCTCTTTTTAATAGATGTTCTTTTATGTAAATAATTACGGTATAACAAGTAAGAGTCATGTGATAATCACCATAGAAATCGCTATGCACTACTATACTAATAATAAGAACTCTGGATAATACACACAGAGCCATCTAGTCCCATGCTAAGCAAAGCTTGTGTTATGAGTACTAGACAACCGATATAAACACTTAAATACATATTTTAATCTATCATCATTATTTATTTATTATCTACATACATAAGAAAATCACAACACTTTATTTTATTTATTTGTACACTTTACATCAATGATTATAGACAAAATATTTAACAGCAATCCCTGCACTAAGCTCAAGGCTTGTGTCGTAGGATTCAGAAACCTTTAATTACAGAAACATTAACTTAAAACAGGTTCCAGTTCAATGAGGTACAAACTTAACCAATATTACATGTAATTAAAAGAATAACTTAAAAAAAATACGCATTACTTAAGTAATCCATTGCCATTCTGTGAAAATTAATGTAAATATGTCTGGATTTGGAAACCGATTGCATAGATTCAGTTCACGAGCAATGGGGGCCTGCTCGGCCAGGATTTATTTATATGTGATCTATGTGAATCCAATAAAACAGCATTGTGTTTTATGTGCTACTAGCCACTCGCCCCGGCTTCGCACGGGTGTACGTACATGTATTATAATATATATTTTATATATGAAATTTGGTACACATATAGTCTAGAATGTTTTAATCAGAAAAAAGGGTGCTATAAGGTTGAAAAGGGAGATGAAAGGCTATATGAAATATCGACTTTACGCCCCGGCTTCGCACGGGTGTACGTACACGTATTATAATATATATATAAATCTTCCTCTAGAATCACTATCTTTTATTAAAAAATAAGCTTCAAAATCCGTTGCGTAGTTTTAAAGATTTAAGCATACATAGGGACAGACAGCGACAACGACTTTATTTTATACTATGTAATGATGATGGTACCAAACTGGTAATGTAATATTTATGTTTGTTTTATGTATGTTTTGCAGAGATGACGTAAACGAAGAGAAGCAAGGCTTCACTCATCGATATAGTGGACACCGGAACTGCGCTACCTTCAAAGGCGTCTCGTTCTTCGGACCTAACAGTGAATATATCGTCTCTGGTTCGGACTGCTCCCATATATATATTTGGGAGAAGAAATCGGAGTCCATTGTACAGTGGATGCGGGGGGATGATAATGGCATTGTGAGTACAAGTTTCATTTAAAGTTTTTTTTTGACAATTCACACTGCGCCATCTAGACCATGAAGATAAGCTAGCTAAAGCTTGTGTTATGGGTACTAGATAGCTGATAAATATTATACATAGAAAATACCCAGACCGATACAAACAGTCATACTCATGAATACAAATATTTGTGCCGTGCGAGGAATCGAACCCGCGACCACCGGACATAACGCGGCATACTAGACCGGTAGACCGCCGAGATCGTCGAAAGTCGTCGTCGGTCTTTTATCATCATCACGCGGAAAGCGGCAAGAGCTCCACCGACAGGAGTGTAGCACTTAAATTATGAATCAATGAGGTTTTTTATAGGACTAGGCATTAAATTATACAGACCCGTCTAGGTTTCGCACGGAAACATTAAAATCTACTCTCTAAATATTACTGTAAAGTTTCATCGATTTTGATGAAGCTTCAGTAGTTTTTGCGTGAAGGATAATTGTTACATACATCAAATCATACTCACTTTTGTGTTTATAATATTAGTAAGTGGTACGTGATGATGCGGCTCGAATGCTCAGATGGTAGTTGTTAATGGCTTCAGCAAATTATAGGGTAGTTGAAATTATAGATTTTGCTTATAGTCTTGAATTTATTGGGTAAATACTATTATAAATTACAATTTTGGTGGAGTGAACAAAAGTACGTTAGACCGATCGGATAGATTTTTAAAGTCTGTATTTTTGTTGCGTATTTAAATTGGATGGGTGTGCGCTCCAATCAGAACGCTCCCTTCGTGTTGCGTTTTGTTGCTGCTTGTACGCGACAGTAAGAGATACCAAAATGACTGACATTAATATTGCTAATAAAAGAATTTGTCTGTACTTGCAGGTAAATTGTATAGAAGCACATCCTCGTTGCCCTGTCCTAGCTACTAGTGGTCTTGACAAGGATGTAAAGATCTGGATACCGAAACGAGAGGCGGACCCTGAATTTAAAGGTTTAGAAATGGTGAGTATTGGCATAGTACGGTGTTTCCTAATTAAGGGCACTCGTTCCGCCAGGGGTACGTGGAGTTGCATCAAGGGGTACGTGCGGTGGTCAGTAAAAACAAGATCATTTTCTAAAATATTAATTTATAACGATAATCATCGTAAAATCACGGAGCACCGAGCACTACGACCCACCGTGCACTATCCCGCGCTTGCAGCATCTCGTTATTCGTCTGCCCCCCGTCGCTCGATCCGGGAAGTCGGAACGGGTGTTGGGGGGCAGATGGGGGCTAGTTCGGCTTTTGTCGTCATTTATAATATTAGCGTGATTGCTACAATAAGTGGTACGCAAGGTTTGAGGTCTTTTCTGAAGTGGTACGCAGCAAAAACTAATTGAGTACCACTGGCATAGTACATTATACTGATATAGATAGATAGATATTTACACATACAAAGAGGTCCTGCTCTTTAATACAGACCCCTTCTTTTGAAAATGAAAGAATTCGGCATAAGAGAAATTCCTGAGATATAAAATTAATATAAATTAACATAAAAAAAAAACAAATAATTCATTCTACGATGGCCAGCAATATACTTTCGACGCCTAAATAGAACTTCTAACCGAAACCTCCGCAACAACAACGAATTAGCCGATACATTGGCGGGAAGACAAAAAAAATGAATCGTCAAAATAAATAAAATGGACCTCCAGTCTATTGACAACCGCGTTTTGCATCGCATAAATAAATTATACATGTACATTTAAAATGTCGCTATCACGCTTAAATCTTTTAAACTACGCAACGGAATTTAATAGTTTTTAGCAATAGATTGAGTGATTCAAGAGGAGGATATGTATAATATGTGTATACTCGTGCGGAGTCGGGGCCGGTAGCTAGTACGATATATATATATATAATATTGTAACAGCTACCGGTCTTCCTCCGATTCCTGATTTGTAATTAACTATATATTTGTTTCCAATACAGATTGTCTGCAAGAACAGCGTGTCGTCACTGCCCAGTCCGGTGTTCAGCGATTTCCTACCATCATTGTACAGAGCGCGAAGCATCGAGATCGACCACAGCTTCCAGGACGATATGGACTTCGAGAACAACTGCTCTACCTTTTAACCTCAACAACCACATTTCTACTGTAGCTTTGTTGCATGGTGCAGCTGACAAGCATTTGCACACTTATCTGTCATTCATCATGATATTTTAACGAATTAGTAAGAACTCAAAAACTATTTTGCACTATATGACTACATTATCTTAACAATTCATGACATATATAAAAAAAATTAAGAAGATCAAAAACATGCAGACATGGCTGTATGGGCGCAGTTCCCTTTGCCTTTCCGTTAAAGGCATTTTGTAAAAAGAATAACAGAACAAAAAATATTAACGAATTAGATGTTATTTTGCGGAAGTTCTTTTCGCTAACTCACCATCTGCTTCTTCCTTATCCCATTTATTTGAGTACAGCGTAATATGTTTTTCTCTTCCACTTATTCCTGTTTGCAGTCATCTTGTTATTTACTCCCTTTCTTGCTATAGTATAAGTACCTTTCACTAATTAATTGGTTTATATTCTTTTGTCTAATTTCGCTACAATTATTATGTGTGAGATCAGACACATATTCTATGCGGATATTTGACTACTGTTACGACCTTTTCTATTGGTGATCAAATTCTGACCGTTTTTGAGTCTGCACCCATATTGCGACGTATTTCGCCTCTGAACGAGGTATCATCACGCATTGAATAGTATTCGGATATAGTTTGGAAACCTAGTATTGGCGTTCGGTCGCCTAATTATAGTGGAATTAAACAAAATAATTAAGTATTCATCATTATAACCAACCCATTGCAGTCCACTGCTGGACATAGGCCTCTCCCAAGGCACGATCTTGAGCCCTTCTCGTCTAGTTATAACCTGCAACCCTACTTATCGCTCAATATGTCAATAAATAATAAATAATTGACAAAAAATATTCTTTTCTTGCCAGTTCTGTTGAACTAAACTAGACGGATAGTCATAAAAAATATGTATAAGAGTTCTTTTTTTTATATCATAATATGCGTTTGATAATGTTAGATGATGTGGTCTCAAGAGTTCAAAGTGTCTTACATGATTATGCAAATTGGAGTTGCAAGTTTAAAATATAATGGCATGTAATAATGTTACGAGCCCAGAACCATTCACAATGCTATCTAGCCGTAAACTGACACAAGTATATAAATATAATTTTTGTGGTTTACGGTTTTATTTTAATTAATTTTCTAGATCATTGGTTCCCAATTAGTTTTTGCTGCATACCACTTCAGAAAAGACCTCAAACCTTGCGTACCCCTTATAGTAGTAGCAATCACACTAATATTATAAATGACGACAAAAGCTGAACGGGCGGGAAGTCGGAACAGGTGACGGGTGGCGGTCTGTCATAGTGCTCGGTGCTCCGTGCTTTTACGGTGATGATTGTTATAAAATAATATTTTGGAAATTGTTCTTTTTCTTGTTTTTACTAAAAGCCGCACGTACCCCTTGATGCAACTTCACGTGGGGGTACGTGAACTTCACGCTTGATGCAACCCCTTAATACCCCTTCCAAAATAATATTTTGAAAATTGCTCTTGTTCTTGTTTTTACTGATAGCCGCACGTACCCCTTGATGCAACTTCACGTGGGAGTACGTATTTTGGTAGGGGTATTAAGGGGTTGCATCAAGTGTGAAGTTGCATATGTGTACTATTATATAGGATATTTCTAGATAAATGGGCTGTAGTTGTTAGTTTGTTACGCCATACATCTAAATGCATCAACGGCAGGATAGTCATAATAAATTATTCTGTACAGATCTCTACAGATACTTATTGACAGAATGATAATATAAAGACAATATTAGGAGTTATGTGATGTCCTGTGCTTGGTTAACTTAACTGAAAAATAAAGAGAATTGTTATTTTTTTAATAATGAAAATTTCATTATTTTTGTAATACGTACATATTGTTTTAAACCGGCGTTGACTAAGAGTCAACTGAGAAAAGACGAATAACATATTAAAGAACATATAATAATGATATCTGAAAACATACACACAGTCATCTAGTCCCAAGCTAAGCAGAGCTTATGTTACGGATACAAATACATTGATTATTTTTTGTAAATACATATACATAGAAAATACTCACAATCAGACTGATACAATTATATTCATGGATACAAATGATTGTACCATGCGAGGGATCGAACCCGTAACCATCGAAAGTAAAGTGCTAGATCGCCGTGACTGTCAAAATACTTTGTTATTATTATAGTTTTTTTTCTATTCAGTAGGACAATTCAGTCTATAATATTTTCTGCAATAAATTAAAGTGAGTCGCCCTACACGAAGCCACAAATTTACCTGACCCGTTGTCCGAAACTGGCACTTACTTCGTAAACTATAAAGGTAAGGCAAAAAAGATAAGGCAGTCAAATTACTGGATAAAAGACACGACATCTTAGTCCTCTGGACGTACAACGCACCGGGGTCACTTTAAAACGTAATGTTTGACACTGGGCTTTTGCAGCCTCCTAAGGGGGTCAAGGTTAGGACCTCAGGCCGAACCCATTTGCCTCGGCGTCCACTCCGAGCGCAAAATCCCCCTGGTAACTGGGTTGACAGCAACTGGGGCGAGTTCCGAAAAGTAGCTTAAATTAAAAGTTACAAAAAGTATATGTATATTTACATAACTTATCATAACTTAAGTAGTCTCATACTTGTGAACTATTTTGTTTGTAGCAATTTTTACTATTATTATTGTTTGTAGTATAGTGTAGCTTATATAAATGTCACTTATTTAAGTGACTGTTACGGCTTAAAGTCACGTGGGCCATCAGATTGTCGTTCCAATTACATAAATAAAAGTAAAAATATTGTATTTTTTTCATAGTAGTAACACTAAATTCGAATACTGCAATTCTGTCACAGGTTGGGTTAAGTTTGTGGAAATGTAATTAAAATTTTTATTAAGTACACTGTTGGGTTAAAATTCAACAAATTCACTTTTACTCTATTAGTACATAGCCTCGATCTAGTATCGCAACATGTCAATTTTTTTTCTGTACAATCGCCTTATTTTCACCGTATATACAATAAACAATTTTTGTCTGAAACTGTGCAAGACTGTTATTGGAACAATTCAATTGTTACCTTAGTACAAATTATCATCCAAGATATTGTATTATATAAATATACAAGGATTACTCAATTTTATATTGTTAAACATTTCATTATTCTGCTATGGCCGACATTTCGCTTCATTCGCAACTTAATGTATTGCGTTTAAGTATAGTAATAGCTTGGTTATTGTTTATGAGTGTTGTTTTACCTAAAACTATTGATGTCATAAAAATGTCATTAAAATATGCCATTGTATATTTGTTTTACATGCGTTCCTATATTTGTGTTGACTTGTAATAACATAGGAATTTCATTAGCAAATACTAAAAGCATTAGTTTGCAATACACAAATTTTATTTCATACTTTTTCTTTTGTTAATAAATATCTTTTATGCATATGAAACGGTAGTCATTTTCAGACACTACTTTGAGTAAGTAAAATGAGTCAATTACTTTTTGTGTTGCTATATTGCTTGTTAGCAAATTTTTCATACAAATGATTTTATATTTACCTCATTATACCTTGAAAAGTTGGTTGAAAGGTAAATTATACATTAATAGTAAGTATATATATATATTTATATACTTATTAGTACCATATATAAATTACTGGCGTGACCCAGTTTTGATTGGGGCTTATGACTGAGTTTTGTATATATATACTAACATAATATATAGCCTGATTGCCCTTCAAACAGTGAATTTCTCAAATCAATGCAAAAATAAAGTCATATTCATAGTTAACTTTTCTTATTACAAAATCTCCCATTTTTATATTATTATATGATAGACAAAACTCATGAATATTTATACTTCTGTAATTTTAAGTGAATTTCATTACCTTCAAATGTGAATAAGAAGTTGTAAGTTTTTCAGTTGTGTGGTAAATAAATTATATTTATAGTTATGTATAGATTTTTGTTTTATTTTTGTTTATTGTGAAGAGAACAGAATGTGAGATGGATTTATTATAGATCTGGGTCCATTGCATTGTAAAATCGTCTATTTCTATGTATTCTAGGCACCTTCAATAGGTTAAATAAAAATGATCTTATGATATATAGGAAATTCATTAGGGTCATTTTAAATCATACCATAATATACAAATCTAGTAAGTTTTATTCATAATAGCACAGTGATTTTTTATAAATTCATGCCAGGTCGCTATATTACTAATTGTTAGTGAATTACTTAAATAACATTTTTTCATGTTTTATCAGAATAGACTATCTGAAAACAATGTAAACTAATAAGTGATAAAAAATCATGATCGTCGATTTAATTAAAAGTTAAAGGCCATTTTTGTCTGCTATTTATCATGAACTTTGTTTTATTTTTCATACATACCTATATAATTATAACAGAAAAAATGTAACAATCCAATGGCTTGGTCCCATATGATTAAAATATGTCTCACTAGCTATCAACCTTCTAAATAATTATCAGTTGTCAGTACTTTTGTAATAAATAAACAATGAATTGTAAAAATATTAACTAACCGATAAATAAACAATCATTTACGACGCTTGCCGGTTACATACGAGTCGGCGCGGCTACCCCTGGTTCACACGCATTAACTACAAATAGATAACAAAACCTTAAATTCATACTTCTAATTTACGTATGCAAACAATAAAAACTATATCAAGTTTTATGACACTTTCCCTAATTAAACAATCAGATTAGATATTACTGAGTACTAACTAAATTCGTGTATATTATTCTGTACTCAAACTAATAACTTTTTTATTTTCCCGCTTTTATATCGACGCTAGTAACGCCACGCAGTGGTGATATTTGGAACCAACACAGCCGCCGCATCTGTAATTTGGAAAGTATAACTTTATTTACGGATTCATTTACGTAATCTATGATGGCAAATTATTATAAATTTGTTTCAAAACGATATACAGTAGCTATTTTATGATCAAAGCTTATATTTATTAGCATGTTCTCAATATTTTGCACCCACATGCTACTCATAGTTTGCTAATGGCCGACCGGCTCGACCAATCACAGAGGGGCTTGTAGAAGCTCGCGCCATCTTCGTTTTCAAACTCATCACACCGCTCACTCGCTCAGTCAGTCGCGCGTCGGATTTGGGCAGCCAAACAACTTGTCTATTTCTACTAGTAATTAAAACCAAAATCAGAACAATCATGAGCACCAATGAAAATAACAGTGAAGTGGCCGTTGACAAGGTCGGAGATGAGAAGGCGGACGCGAAAAGTGATCTAAAAGGAGCGAAAAGGGCAGCAGAGGTGAGTGCACATGTCACACAAATGTATACATTTAATCGCTCGCCATTTTATTGAACGCTATAATAAGGGCCTCCTTACATTAATTTATGTATCTCAGTTTGTGTTATTACTTTACTCCACGTGGTTAATATGGTTTGCCGCTTGTAGCTGCCACTACAAACCGGCGTATTTTGGGACTTCATTTTCTAACCAGTTACGATACGATATGGCTAGCGTGAGGTAATCGATGAGTCAATACCATGATACTTTATGGTGTCTCTAAACTTAAGTTTGTATTTTAGTTACATTGGATAACTTAATTATTACTGTAGCATTGTTTACTCGTATTCGATACTGAAGCATGACCTTGGTAGAAAAAAAAAAACATGGCGCGAGAATGTACGCGCTTACGTCTCGAATGATTATTAGAAATATTGTCTAGTCACCATAGACTGTGTTGTTTGTGTATGTTATTGATTTTATAAAAATCAATGGTTATTTCAGACTTTCACAGTCATTATGTTCATGGCAGCGTGACGCTAGCTAGACGGACGAGTAACATGGCCGGCAAATGTCAGTGTTTGTACTGGCTTGTAGCATTCGCCGCGCCGCGGCTATGATGTTTGGTTTAGGTTAAACTTGTTATCTTATTATCAAGCGACTTCATATTCTATTAAATTCACGTATGCCATGAATTAGTCACGTTTGCAGCATTTGCACAATTGTTATTTTATTTCGGTAGTTTACACAGAAAAGTAGTCAATGACCCGGCATTATTTGCATGTAGGTGTTTTGTATAATAAACGTTTCCTTTGTTCTATAAGTATGTTCTCATTCGATAATAGCATAAAGTTATAGGAATATGGAGAAATTAACGATATTAGATTGAGCGGGAATACTAAAAACTACGTAATTTATTCCAATGTGTGAATATTTAATATTTACCGTCTCTTTCACTCATTATAACCTATAATACTACTACTACGCATGAAGAGCTATTGCAGGCTTACGAATACAAGATTAGGAAAATATGTTGATTTCATCAAATAACGCATCCTAATGAAACGATGCGTCTAGAAGTTTAGTCACGCTGTCGTTTAGGCTATTTTTCAGTTGTTTCCTCCACGCGTCTACCAGTCGGCTCTATGAACGGTTATGTATGCGCGGTGACCGCGTTCCGTTCCACATTGCCACGGCAAAATAGGCCGTACGACGCCGGGCCGCGTTATCCGTCGCTCTTTCCCCTACACAACTAATGACCCACGCTTCTTTATCGTTACGAATCTTTGTCACCTGCGTCTCATTACGTCGAATGTAACCTGTAGCCTTTACACGATAAATTAAAATGGAATTGTTTGTTTTAGTCATAATTACATATTTAGATTTAAAATCAATTGGCTAATGGCCAGTTAATTCCTCGCATGCTCTTGATATGTCAAGGTATTCCACTATATTGTAACATGTTAAAACAACAAATAATATGTTTCAATGCACCCGACTAAATTTCATGGTATTTTTTAGGATAAACCAACAGAAGCGAAAAAGGCGCGAAAGGAAGAAAATGGCGGCGGCGGCGAAGACGAACCACACAGTGACGAGGAAGATCTAGAAGGAGAAGGCGAGGGCGAAGAAGATGACGATGAAGAAGTTGAGGGTGAGGAAGGCGAAGAGGACGACGAAGAATTAGGGGAAGGAGAGGATGACGATCTCGAAGGTGAGGTTATGTTACTTGCAAATAAATAACGTAAATAGGTCATTTACTTTAGTTCGTGTAATCGACCAGCGCTATCTAGTAAAGGTCGCGATAAAATACTAATCATTGACTAATCACACCGTATTACGCTGCAAATGCACTATTATCGCATACAGCGCTACTGTGTAGTAATTGTTTACCATTTTTAAGTAAAGAAATATGAATAATAAAAACTAGCAGAATTGATTAGGAATAATATTTCTATTTTTATTAGTTCTAAAAAATTATTAAAATAAAACTTAAAACTAATATGTGGACTATCAATTGTTGCAGATGAAGAAGTAGAAGAGGAATTATTAGGCGAAGAAGAGGAGGATGACGCGTAATACGCCTCGTGCCTCTATAAGGACAATGTCACAGTGATGTGTTGTGCTCGTGACGGCCCGACTGGCGCGGCCTCGCCTCGCCCCAACTGTCAACCGCGATGGTAGCCCCAACAGCAAACAGAACAGTACCAACAGTTGAGAACACGCGAGGCCGACCACGCTCCCACCTAAACGGGTGCAGTTCTATTTAAATGACAAATGTAATTAATTAAGTCAAATCCAATGCAGATTTTCAATTTTTTACAGTGTTTAAGTTTGATACCGAAGTTGTATCTTTACTTTTATCAGCTCGCCGAGACGAGCACGAAACGTGTAATTAAGACTTAGTAGAATGCTGTTGAATTTTGTCATGAAATGTACAAATGTGTTTTCGGAAGTAAACTATGTTCTAAGTGACACCCGTTCTGTATTCTAGGTTTACCTGTGAGCCCGTAAAATGGTGAAATTGTGATATTTTTCTTCACAAACATTAAACTATAATGCTTTTGTAATAAAATATAGATATATGCCTTGGCAGTTCTAATATAGTGAATAAGCAATTAGTCACAAAGCTCAATTCTTCATTTTTCTGTTGTTGATGAGAGTTTGCGTGTACATATTTAGCGTAAGTGAAGCCTGTGATTTATATGATCAATAATGTAACATAGTGTGATTGTTGCATTCAGGTTGTTCTACATTTCATTTCAGGCAATCATTACTGAAGCTCGTCTCATGTTCCGTTAATACTGCCCTTCCGTACAATCCTAAAACGATCCTGAGTCGAGACATAAAATTTAAGGAATGAATTTTAATGAAATGATTAGTTCTAAGAAAGTTTGAAGACGGTCGCTCAGGACTTTTAGGCTCTTACGGAATGGTGTTCCTAGCCGGCCAGTATCTACCGCCGTATAGACGTGCCGGAGTACTCCGATTCGTTTTAACCTGAACCGAACCCCGGTCGCAAATAATTTTGACTGTTATCAATATTTGTCAAATGACGAATATGACATTTTAGAAAAACATCACAATTTTGCCATTATCTCGTGCACATCGTGCGCCGGCCGCCCGCTCTCCGGCCGACTGATAAAGAGAGCGCGACGGGCGACGCGCCACTATAGCGAACGTAAAAAACCGGCCTGTAATTTTTGTCCATAATTGTTAATTAGGATAGTCCTCAGTTCGGTATTCCAGTGTTTCACGGTTCGAGTAAGAGATTCCTAGGTTAAAGTGATTTAGTATTTAGGGTGTACGTCATTTTTTACGAGAGGACGCTACGGGAGCCGGCGCGGGGTGCGTGGCTGCCCCCCTCGTACCCCATTCCCCCGTCTCCCCCTGCCCCTCCCCTCCCCCGCCCCCCTCGCCGCCCGCGAGCGTGGCCTCGTTCGATTTGCCGCGCGGCGTGCTTCCTCGCGCCCCGGCCCCCGCGCCCGTGCCTCGCCCCCACGCCGGCCCCGTACCACGGTACGCCAACGCGCTCCTTCGCGTGGAAAATCACCCGTTGTGCGCGATACATCGCCGCTTCGCGTCCGTCGACGGGCCGAGCGGCAGCGGGCGCGGCGGGCGTCCGGTCACTAGACGCCGCTAGTAACACGAGTGTTTTTGATACTTGTCGTTGAATCTGTCTGTTTTCACTCGGTTCAGTCTCTCTCGGGGCGCCGGTGTTGTTCGACAGCCGCGTGGATGCATTGTATATCGATAATTTTTTAACCTTTCGCCGGCCCCCGGGAGAGACCGCGAGATGTTTAGGAGAGCATTTGGCGGATTGTTCCATTGGCGATCGAATACCAAAGGGAGCAATATGTATTTTGTTTAGAAAAATTGACATTGAAATGAATAAAATTAACTTATGAGTAAATCCTATCGTCCCGCCTTTTCATTTTGTGGTAAGAATGAGCTGTCGCATATTGTGTACGCTGTACGACTTATGTGAATACCTTAGTACGATTTTATTTATTTGTGATGTTGAACACTATTGATTTTCTACAATGGACGAAATGTAAATACAACCGATTTTAAGTAAAACGTTATTTTGTTTTCAAGCTTATTTATTTGTCCCTCGATGATCCTATGCAAAAAAAAACCAACGCCAATTTAATATAGAGGCGATAGTAATAATTTTAAAGATAGCGTTATAAAAATAAATATGGCGCCATTTGCATGTGGCGCAATTGCTACGGTTACGTTCACACTGGTAAGCAAAATGTAAGACCAAAAATAATAAGCAAATGAAATACAGACAGGTGTTACCTTCATGTGCCTGGTATATATATAGAATAAGGATACCATATAGCTGTCTGTTCATGAGACTTTCCTACGTTTCTTCATTCATTTTCATAAAGCACACCCGACTGTCTATCAGTACTTGTATGTCTGGCTATGTTTTTGTGTAGTCTGATATTGATTTACCTTACGACAGAGTTCTAGAAAACTCTACCGGTAATAACTTACAATATAGAGAGAACTAGTTATACCTAATATTTTAATCTACGTAATTCTTCGTGTCTTTGCAGTTTACATACGGTTACGGTTATGGTTTTTCTTAGTATATCCAATACTGTCGTTAACACAGAAATACATTTTTAAAGTTATCGTATATACAGTATTTTTTTAAAAAGTGTGGTTGATCTTATATAATTACGAATGTATCTGCCGCTGGCCCGCCATCGTTTAAGTACATTTCAATACAGTATCTAATTGTCATAATTATTAAATTATAAAATATTTTATACTACAAGCGTTTGGCAGCCGCTAGTTATTATATGCCGGCATAGCTGGCGTTAAGATTATATCTCTGACCTAGTACAGTACGGGATTAAGTCAAAATTTACAAATTTAGAAATTATACTTTAAAGCAAAAGCTTCAGAGTTGACTTTCATAAATTTGTAGTTTTTTTTGGTATTCCGGTGTTCCGGTGTGTGATATATATAAATACATTATAATATATATTGAATCTAAATATAGAAGTGAAAAACCTGAAAAAGCACTATTTAGTTAGTGATAAGACATAACTATTATTATCAGTTGTGGGGAAAAGATTAAATGATATAAAACGTTCTCGCTGATTATTCTGATTGATTGAAAATATTATCATACTAATATTATAAGGTCGACAGCGTGTCTGTATGTTGTTACCTTTTTAGAACTAACTTACTGTCTGAATAGATTTTAATGGAATTTGACGTAATAATAGATTGGGTCATTCATAGGTTATCATTACATAGTAGGTATAAAACAAAGCCGCTGTCGCTGTCTGCCCGTCCTTATGTATGCTCAACTCTTTAAAACTACACAACGGATTTTGAAGCGGTTTTTTAATAGATAGAGTGATTCAAGAGGAAGGTTTATATATATAATACATGTACACTCGTGCGAAGCCAGAGTGTGTAGCTAGTATTTAATAAAAAAGCAAACTGGAAAGGGATCAATAAGATGATAGAAGTTTGTGCAATTGAACAACTACGATAGTTTTAATATTCGTATTGAAAGTAACAGTATGCGAAGATTTCAAGAAGTCATTTCCAATTATACATAGAAATTTAGTTAGATATGAAGTACCTACTTATGATCACGATTGCATCATCTACCTAAAAAATCACTGCATAATTTTCATATCGCGTTTCAACAACGCGAACCTTTATTATCTTAGTGACCGTTGGTGTAAGCTGAAGGGGTTCGTATCAGGTATTAAATTAGGGAGACGGTAAATTGTATGAGACACCCTACTTCCGTCGGCAGCAACTAAGTAATATCGCATATTCAAGTTTACGAAATAATAATAATTATTATGCTCGAAGACTTATTAAAACTACAATAGTGTACATAGTAGTAGTGTGTTCCTCTGTATAGATACAAATAACGGTATAAAAATTGTTATCTTTATGCATGCAACTTTACTAACGTGTGAACTCCTCGATACTATACTAGCGACATCTAGTGAACGGCATTTAAAAAGTAAAGATGACGCTGTGGTAGCTTTTACTTCACGTTACTTTTAGTTCATCGTTTTAATGTAGATGGCGTTGTCGAATGATTTGGCGCTTTTTTTAAACTCCATTCGATTATCAAATTGTAAAAAAATAAGACACGCGAAGCATCAATGCTTATTCTGCTCAAAGTTATTTTTTGCGGATGATTATTGCTGGTGTCGACCTATATTTAAAGACGCTATTATTCAATACACTAACAAAAACCGGCGAATAAAAGGTGCAAAGTGTATTACATAAGCAATTAACAGCTAAAGAGTGAACTTCTGGCTCAATTGTGATAATTCACACGCGTCGGTGTTTCAATAGGTTTAAATACAAGCACAAGTAAAGCCATCCACATTAATAAGTAGTACTGTAAACAACTTACACAGCGACATCTAATTCCAAACGAAGAGATTTTTTTTTAAATACTATGGTAGACAATCGAAACCTCTATAAATATGATGTATATATTTTTTATAAATATATACAAAAACACTGAGACTAATAAAATAGATATATCTATTTTATGCTCATTATACTCATGAAATTTTTATATTGTGCGGTTTGAACTGAACACGAAATAATTCGAAACAAACTTTGGGCGTTAAATCGCATGCAACTATGCTTTCCCGCGAGACCAATCAACAAAAAGATATTTTAAATAGTTTTTCACTTTTGAATTTAACAATAAAAAACATGAAACTTAATCCCAAATATTTTAAGCAATGAAATTTCGCTTTATATAAAACCCAATACGTATGTTAGCATATACCTAATTACTCAGCATCTATATACTTCCTACTATGCACTAAAATACAACACACCAATTGTATGCTGTTATTATCAACATTCTAAATGATTATCCGGGAACTACGACATGAATTGACTACATAAGGCGCTACAGTGCATATTTATTGCGAATAATTGTCTATACACACTATACTGGCAATTTGACTCTCTTACAAATATTTTTTTATATACTCTATGGTATTGAAGTAGTATGCGTGTTATAAATTATAATATAATTCATTATTAGTCTAATTTTATACAAACACAGGAAAATATTAATATTAGAAGATAAATTTACTGCATAAAAATGCTTGTGTTTCTATATTCAAAATATTTATTACTGTATCGATCATATGTGTACTCTGTTTACATTAGTAAGCTGTGCAACTATGCTTTCCCGCGAGACCAATCAACAAAAAGATATTTTAAATAGTTTTTCACTTTTGAATTTAACAATAAAAAACATGAAACTTAATCCAAATAGAATATATTTTCAAACCGTTTCCCAAAAGTAAATATATCCAGAAAGACGGTTTCTGAAATAAATAAAAATATTTAGTTATTTTTACAAATAAGAAATTAAGACAACTTTATTTTTAAATAATTAATAACAATGGAATGGTATACAAATGAAAGCGGAAATCCTCGCTTAAGGATTCATTCATGACGTTAGAATTATTTTAATAATGAAATTAATAGTCTACTATATACTACTGTAATATTATGATATCTGTGGTCCTACTTAAAAAAATATTTTAAATATTTTACTACCTAGTTTAAAGCAGAATGCTATATAATCTGGTATACATAAGACCTAATTATATATCTAGTATATATAAGACCTAAAATAATATTAAATAGTTCGTACGTTCAAAACTTGTTAATGCGAAATAATGTCCAACAATAGGTACTCCTTCAAAACTATTTTTATACATTTCAGGAATGTTTTAAAAGCCAAAGGAGAAATACATCGATGTAAAAGAAAGATGTCTCAAGCCGCTCGGTCGATTTGTTGTTGAGACCAACTACTTTTTTTATTTTGAGACCCGTGCTCAATAATGGACTGACGATTTGTAGAGTTTCACTGTGAATAGGTATACCTACCTATATTCAAAACATTTCTTACAAAGTAGGTAAAAGTTGGACTCCTTATTCCTTTCCAGAAGCTGTCTTCTCAGATGTTCCTATAAACAGTTTGGGGTACAGACGCAAAAGTTTTTGGATTATCAAACACTGCAGGAAACTATAGAAGAAAACCAGGAATTTAAAATAATTTGGCCACAACTGTAAAACTTGAATCCACAAATATTGCAATGCATGAAGAACCGTAAGCATCACAGTGTATTATTTTGTAGTATCGGAGGTGCTTTTTTCTATGGGATATGGATATGTCAATTATCATGAGACATATAGATATAGCATCTTGTTTGTTATTCCAATGCGCTTAAAGTAAGAAAGAGTAAGGACCTAAAATGTACTTGTCAATTAATCTTAGAGTTTAATAGAGAACAATTAAAATGATAGCGATGATTTATTAAAGTAATATTATTTACATAGAATCAACGTTCGGATTATTACTTTAATCTTAAGTAGGTATTGCTTTCACATAACAGAAAACTAGAACTGTGCCCCTAACAAAACATGAACTAAATACTTAGGTACGGTACGTCGCACGTACACCTAACTAGCAATCATTCAACAAAGCAACAAAGGATTTAAGAGGCTAAATTGTATACAATGGCCCTTCTAAACATTACAGTTGAACGTCCTTATTATTTAAATTAGTAGGATAATAATGTTGGATCAAATGATTGTCACAAATAGCTAAGAGCGCATGGCCGATTCTGCATTCAGACAGTGTATGACTGAAGATAATTTATTTTAGTTCGCTCTGAACCACGTATGCAGGCATACGCCTTGTTGAATTGACTTTTACACGAATTAAAAATCGCGCGAAAACTTTATAAATTGAACACATCTGCATGCGATACAATGAATAATTCGAAAATAATTGAACCGCACCAGAACGCATGTTATTCATTTTTAGCGGCAAAATGTGACATTTAAATGAGCAAATATCACTAGTTCGTGAAGTGTTTGTTTATAGAAGTTTATTGAACTCGTGATTGATTTCTCTTTTTATTTATAGAAATGGAAACAATGTCAATATCATAGATTTATGTATTAAAAATTAAGTCGTTTCTATTTATGTGAAAACACAATTGTGTCCAGTGATTATTTAGGTAAGACAAATTTTATATTGAATAGATAAATTAATCATCCGATAATTTTGAGATATTTATTTTTTTGGGATGTAATACTTGTGTGAATGTGTATTTAATGAACAATTAAGGATTTAAAAAAAAAATTCACGGGTTAATCGGAGGTATAATACGACTACCTTAATAAAAATATATATTGATATACTAATTATATACTTATATAAAAATGTATTTATACATTTTCACAAGATATAAAAATTTTTAAAGTCCTTAATGTTTTATTAAATAATAATTGTCGAGTATTAAATCCATAATAAAAAATTAAATATAGGAAGGAATTTGTACATTTCTTATTCTTATTTGGCTATTATAATAAATAGATATACTTTGTTATTGAAATAACCGATACTAGTGATCAATAACAGTGATCGTCAACCATTGGGTCAGTCAGATTTATATTATGCTAACGATTTACAATTATTACCGATTTAAAAAAAAGTTGGTTATCATTTCGACAAATATATTTTTTGGGTGTAGTACCGAAAACAAATTTCTCCCACGTTTCTATGTCAATTTGTTTAACATGATTTCACTAAAATCACAGATCTAAAATATAAATCAGCTTGAGAGCGTCGTATCGTAGTATAGTGGATTATTTATCCCGACTTACAAAAACAAGGTCGTACGTTCCAGTCTCAGTTGTAGGGATTGGTCTGATCTATGCAAATCGTCCGTGTGCATTTATTGATATAAAAGTAAAAGATATTTTTTTTATAAAACAGACGTATGTCTGTTTATTACGTAAACAGACAAAAAAATAAAAACATATTTTATTTTTAATTATATATTTATAATATACTTTTATATGCATTTAGTGAAAAGCTATTCATTTGAAATTACAAAGACATTACAATTTTTTATCTAAGTCTATGTCTAAATGTTTCTAATATATTATTTTTATAATTTTGCTCAGTTCGGTAGTTCGTATTCATAAAAAATCGTATGCCTGTAATATTGTTCAAATAACTTTTGTTCAAAAGAGCTGCAGCCGTGCCGTTCATTGTACCTATGACCATTCACCGCGGTTGAACCTGCTTTTTTTGGGAGTACTCTAATTCTCTTGGCCGCAGCTGGCAAGTTTACTGGATATAAAGTTCTATATATACAAATATAACTAAAAATATACTAGTTAGTAGGGCTAAAAATAATTTTATTTTAAAATAGATTATCCTATTATTACATCTTATATATTAAATTCTTGTGTCACAGTTTTCGTTCCATACTTCTCCGAAACGGCTTGACGGATTCTCATGAAATTTTGTGAGCGTATTGAGTAAGTCTGAGAATCCGCCAACATCTATTTTTCATCCACCTAAATGTTAGGGGTAGTCCACCCCTAATTATTATTTTTTATTTTAAGGCAAAACAACGTTTGCTGGGTCAGCTAGTATTATTATATATGTCTACTGTTATATTCTAATCTACGACCTCGGTGGTTTAGCGGTGGAGCACACCGCCTTAGTTCTGATGGTCGTGGATTCAGTTCCGGTATAAACACTAGTATTCATGAGTGTATTTTTATTGGTATTTTTATGTATATCATGTCGTACGATTTGAATTCTTTGATTGACAAACATTTGAATTCTTCTGCATTGGGCTGAGTGTTTCTTAGGTACATCATGTATTTATAATAACAAAATCAGTTCCCTTTATGTTATTATAGGTATACTTAGAACGGATCATCATCATTTCAGCCTGTATTTGTCCATTGTTGGATACCTTTCCACCATGTGCAATCTTCCGCCTTCCGCATCCGTCCACTCTTTTTTTTTTTATACTACTATGGTGGCAAACAAGCACACGGCCCATCTGATGGTAAATGGTTATGGCCTATGGACACCTGAAGCATCAGGGGTGTCACGTGCGCGTTGCCGACCAAACTCTTGGCCACATCTTGATATGAATCAGATATGTATATACATATATATTGTTTCAATTTCTTATTTAATTCGTAATTATCGTTATAAATATGTATTAACATCCTGTACATCATGCTATTGAATATCATTGGCTCAATACCATTCAACATTCGAGCGATTCATTTTATGGTTGGAGGGCATTATGCATTAATTCCAATTGAAATTATAATAATGAAGCAACTATTAATAATACTCTGATGTAAAACTTTTGTGTTTTTTTTTAAGTATATACATCATTATCACCTATTATTTGACTTACCGGCCTCTGGCATTTCTCCCAACTATAGTTGGGAGAATTCTCGATAACTCGAGTTAACTCGAATACAATATCATCAGCGGACTAAAATTCTAACCATATGTAAACCAACTTTGCGTGACTGATGGTCGGTGGTTGGTAGTACTTTTATCTATACATATAAATAAAATTAGAATGTCTGTTTGTAATATTGAAATAACCGTTTTTTACTACATGCATATGAATATCAATACAGTACATACACCAAAATATATTTTTTACCATTTTTTTACTTTGACACTCCAATTTTATTTTATACAGATTATAGAATCTAAATCATACTTTTTTTTTATATTATAATCATATTTTTTATTATTTTTTAAATGCAAAGATCTTTTTGTTTGCCGGGTCAGCTGTAAATAAATAAAATTTTAGTTGCATCGGAATTTTTAAGTAGTTTAAAAAGGACGTAAGAAATATTAGGCAATCTAACAAAGTATGCGTTTTAAAGTTGTTTACCTTGCGATGAAATGAAACGAGCGGCTAACCAGTCGAGTTGTTACTGTGTGGTATCTACTAGTGTGGAGTAATATGGAGTAATATTTAGACGGCCTTGGTTACTTCGGACCCTACTTCCGATGGTCGCAGGTTCGATCGATCTCTTACGGCTTAAGCGTTATTACTGACTGAATTATGCCTGTTAGTGACAATTTATTCAATTTAAGCATATTTTGATGCTCACTGTTACACAAGTTACCATAGATATCACCTGTGGTAACTCGTATTGTACGGAAACTAAACATCCTTCAAAGAATAAGTTTAATTTGGATTATGAAAGATATTATGTTTTTCGATAAATGAACTATTTGACAGTGGCAGTTGCAAACCGAGTTGTAGAGTTTGCAACAGTGGTTGTCAGAAAATAAGAAACCACCGCAACTCATCACCGCAATTTTCAGAGGTAGCTTATCATACCTTTTATTATTTAATTTTCATCTATAAAAATAATGAAAATCCTTAAATCCAACCTCATCCCATCATACATACCTTTCTTTTCAAATCTTTGACTAATAATTTCATTTTAATCTACAAAAATAACGAAAATCCTTAATTCCAACCTCATCCTATCATAGAAGAAATTATAATTTCTTTGACTTGTAGAAGAAATTATAATTTCGTTTTTTTAAATGTTTATTTTATATTTTCAAATAATAAGAATTAAAACAGCTAAACAAGAAAACCATATTATTCAAAAATAACGAAAATCCTTAATTCCAACCTCATCCTATGATACCTTTCTTTATCATCTTTAACACGCACACGAGATAACTATTACATTTTCATCTATAAAAATAACGAAAATCCTTAAATCCAACCTCATCCCATCATACATACCTTTCTTTGTCATCTTTGACTTGTAGAAGAAATTATAATTTCATTTTAATCTACAAAAATAACGAAAATCCTTAATTCCAACCTCATCCTATGATACCTTTCTTCATCATCTTTGACACGCAAAAGAGATTATTATTACATTTTCATCCACAAAAAAATCTTGCATGATGAATTTGAATATTTACGAAATTCGGTCAAAGTCATCTTTCTGCGTGTGTCGGTGTCAAAGTAGCAAGCTGTTTTTTACTATAATGTTGTGTTACCATGCATCACCACAGTGGCTGTTACATTCAGACTTATGTCAACATTTCTGTCTTGTTATTGCCTTATGATGAAGAAAGTAAAGCAGTGTCAACTGTACACACACATTTTTGAAGTTTCAGGGTATAATACATCTATTAAACCCTTTAAATTAACCCTATTGCTAGCACTGTATCATATCATATCCTCATATCATATCTAGACATATGAATTGAAATAACAAGGTATAACAAATATTGTAATTTACTGACATAGTTTATAAGTTGTTTACTAATATAATATGGATGGATATACGAAATAAATAAAAAAATAAATATTAACATGGCCGTCACCAAAAAACTTAGTGTCAATTTATATTTATAATAATGATTCTTTTTGCTATCGGTGTTACCATCACTGGAGTCAGAAATGTTAAACATACAAAGATTTTGGTGTTACCTAGATTTCAACTATCGACCTTAAGTACTAGAATAGGAGTAGCAAAACACTTTGTTAGCTACTAAATGTTTTACTTAATAAGTATAAAGAAATTTAGTCTTACAAACAAACATATTTTCATGAATATATTTCTATTGTGTGGAGATTGAATCCGCCACCGTTACAAGATGAGGCAACGTGTCAAATCTCTGTACCACCAAGGGCGTCAAGAATGAATATTCAAACGGGGCGTTTGGACATTTTTTTTATTATAATTTTGTTTGTTGGAGGTTGTTCCTTGTTTTATTGCAACATAGTGCATTCAGCCATTTGAACTTTTTTTACAAAACAAACGTTTTAACATGCAACAATGTCACAGAAACCCAAATGTTAAACTAAAGTCGAATCCTATTCACATTTTATCACCTTTTTGTGTATTTAAAGCTGGTGGTATGTCTATTTATTTAATGTCATTATTAACTACTCATGTTCATGCTAGTTTCAGTAGAAGCTAGTAAGTAATACTACTTTTAATATTATCGTCCAGATCAGCTGGTTACTTTAGTTGAAAAGATCAGGAAGGAAACCCGCCTGGTACATCATTAATATATCTATATTCTGTATAAATAATATTAAATTATATAATATATAAGCAGAGTTTGTGCTATCGATAGGTACTAGATAACTAGTATAAATACTTAGATTTTTTTTATAAATATATATTAATATACATA